AGCCGAGCCTTGCATTCAATGTGTCACCTTCTACGCAACTGCATTCCTATGAATTTACGCGGACCTACGAAAACGAAATCGTCGGGACACGGTAGGACCGTGATCCGCCTACGACATACTACGTTCAGCTCTGAGATGTAGCTAATCAATTCTTCTGCAATTTCAGGGCGGTATGTCAGAGTTGACGAGCTCTACCGCGAATGAGCACACCTGCTGGCAGAACAAGACTAAATCGCATTGGTTTTGCACACAACTGCGTCACCGGTTTCATTGATGTACAGGGGTCAGTGGCAACGCCAGGATCTAAAAGGCGATCACAGGACAAGAATGTAAGGATAGTGACAGACTATTTGGCTCTTTAAGACAGTCTTGTGATTCTTTTCCGACGCGCATGTCTCTACAAACGATGACAATATGCACCTACACACTAATGTTGGGCATATCTGTATCGTGTTTAGCAGGATGACTGGGAAACAAGTGTGGATACGCCGTCGCGTTCAAGTTGCTGATGAGCCTACGTCGTAAAGAATGCTAGGTTGCAAAGGTACAGTAGTGTACCTGTTCTTTGAATATTTATGGGAACAAGCGCCTTGGGGTCAATGATATGCAGTGGACTACCCAAAATGTTTACAAATAGGAGATGTCAAGGTAACGAAGCCACTGCTTTATCCGCAGCTGTCTACTAATATGTAACGGTTTCCCGGCGCATGTGAATTCTAATTACAGATTCACTTATCCGTTAAATGAATTGTCCAGCCTCGAGCGTATATGGATACTGATAGCTCGAGCTTTGGAAGATGAAGGCACCGCGGAACGCACTCAATGACATGCAACAACAACATTTGGCGGGGTCCGGATCACGCGTGTCGAGGCTATTGCAATAAAGATTCAAATGAGGTTAAACTTATACCGAGATCAGCTACGTGCTCATACCTTGTCTTAATACCTCAAACGTATCTAGTGCATGTAAACACTCAATAAACGATTGTTCAATTCTACTATAGTAAATGCATGATTACATGCATGATAAGTTATCTCAATGACATACGTGTCATCCCCATCGTTGATAAGTGCAACAAACAAGTAGATCCGTGCAGAAATTGGCATGCTAATGATACAGCAAAAAGGCTTGATTGAAAGACATCCAAAACAATAATTTGTGTGATGTCAAAGAATCGATTGTTGAACTATTGGTATTTCTGTATTAGCTGTCAACGTTGGAGAACGTGATGCAAGCAATAAGAACATGTTTAGATTTAGTGCGTCGACGAGAAGTGGTGGGGCGTGCCGAAAATTGCCTTGAAACATCAAAAGTAGCACCACCATCACCACCTCATCTTATAAGCACCCATCATATAAGTGCTAGTCTCGAAGAAATGGAGCTTCTATTATAATGTAGCCGATATCCGTGAGCTTAGTCGTATGTGAACTGGCCGGAAGGATATTAGATATGTACTTGATCGGGTTCGGGATACTTACTTTGACATTGAAGATTCCGCACTTGATTCGATACTTCCTGGTAGCCCATAGTATCCTGTCCCGTGACATGTCGGTGATCCACCGGAAGAGGTGGAGGCTGTCCACGATACAACTGATTGAAGCATTGTCTTCTCGGGGCGGTATCTCTTCTCGTATCAAACTCAACTTGTGAATATTACTGGCCTTGTCCTCCAGACACTTGGAATAATGCTTTGTCGCTTATTATAGATGCTGCTTGATAAACTTGTCCAGTACACGACACAGTGTCATTGACACTCGACACGTCTGGCAGAAAACCATGATGACTGGCGTCGAAAGTTTGAACTTGAGTGGCCTGTTGAACATCATGGAGTACAAATAAATTAGACAAGTACGTTTAAAGTACCAATACAACATACCTGTGACGCCTGTTGCCGTGCTTGATTGTTTGCTGCAACAATTTGCTGAGCGTAGTGGGATTTGTTATGGCCGTACTCACGACATACACTGCATCGACTTTGTCGCTTGGTACTTCTTTCTTCGGCTGTCAAGATCCTGGTCGGATGGGTTTTTCGTTTTGTGACAGGCTCTTTAATTTTTTGCCATTAAGGTATTACTCACAGGCACAAAAGCTTTGTCGAGAAACCAATGGGAATGGATATCGGCTGGATTCAACCCAGCATCCGGTCCATCGGTAATTAATATGCGGAGGAAATCATGCTGACAAGGTAGACCGAAGTTGCTCATACAAAAGTCGGAGCACCCTTGAAAATCACAGTCAAGAGGTAACAATCGTACTCTCTTGGCGAGGCGGAGCTACTTCGACATGATGCCGATCGCGTAGGCAGATAATTTCTTGTAAACATCCACAAACATGTCATCTCGAACAGTAGGAAGAAACGCCTTCGTCCCGCGATCCAGCAAGTTTGATGACTATCTTGTTGTTTTTTGCAGATAAGCTTCATGCAAGGATGAACGGAAAACCCCATTTGTGAAGTTTTTAATATCTTTTGAATGCTGCATGTGCGCTTTCAACTTTGAATGAGGAAATCTGTCCAAAGCGCTCGACTCCCACCATCTAAGCAGCACAAAACTTATCTTCGTAGGATATAAACCAGCTTTGTTCAATGTACTCATGACACACTCTTCGGAATATGCCCTCTCATGTCTTGCCACGCTCCTTCAAATTAATTCTGATGTTTTATATCCAAGACTAAACGCGACCACATCTTCAAAAACACATCAAACGCTCACTAGGAGCTCCCCTCTACCTCTATTGAAGGGAAATCGTTTTGGTGGTGGGCCTTGATATTGCTTTGACTATGCCAAACACAAAGTAGGTGGTTGGCTTGGGAAAATAACTGCACCAATGGCATTCATCAAGGCTAGATCAGCATCGGTAATAATTACACCGGGATTAATTATAATGCTCTGTTCCAAAAGAGTATTTAGTATCCATGTCAAGTCCACTTGTGTTGCGCTATGTAGAAAACAAAATGCCAATGTGTACGTGATATTTGTACTGGTTGATGAAATCACATTAAGCATACCTGATCCATACTTGTTCGTTCGGTATGTTTCGTCAATTTGCACCACGGCGGTGCGGCGTTCTTCGAAAAGAACCTGAGGGATGCTATTCGGAATTACAAGCAAGTGAGTAATATGTGACTCCAACAATACTTTTGGCCTGAAAATAGCACCATCATCCTGGAGATCTCGGATCAAAGCCCCATTTTCAGGAATTCCATCTCTCTACTTTTGACGATACTTTTGACGCATATTCATGATGTCCTTTGCTATCAGTCTGCACTCTCCATTATATTTGCCCTCGAGGTTCTCTAGTATCGATTGGGTACTTGTTCGATCTTAATCAAATCCATTACGAAAGCGTTCTGTTCCATGGTAGCGTGACGAGTACCGGGATAATGGCATATGTTATCTGCTGGGGGGTGATTGTGCAGTCCATCCACGGTAATCTGGTAAACGATACCGCACAGGTCGATACGGCAAGACCATTTGCGACCAGTCAAACGACTCCGGGTGTTTTTAATGACGCGATCCTTGCTGCCGGATCCAGCGTTGGCACACGTGATGTACCAAGTCTTCCGAAACAACTTTCCTGTCCGGGTGCTGACTTCATCCGCCGCTCTATTCTGGTCAAGGCGCTACTTAGTCTTAGGCAAGAAGCCTCTACGACCACATTCCTCGAAAAGAGCTTAAAAAGAAGCGTCGGGACTTATAAAATTGTGTCCTTCAAAATGGTCGTGCAGCTTATCGGCCACTCTTTCGAGCTGTTTGAGAGGCGATCCATGGAAGTCAAACGTTTCCGGTTCCGCTTTCCTCTCTGAGTCCATACCAGCTGAATTAGATGTATCTGCAATAGTCGCTTGATCGGAGTCGGAAAAGCCTTGCACTTCACTCTCCAAATAGTTAGACTCGATATGTAGCTGTCGTTACTATGAGCAACGTACATTAATTTTTGATTCTGAGTTAATTTCTTACCGTGCCCTTCATATTCGATACTGTCCTTCGATCCAGTAGTGGCCACACATGGTATCGACTTTTCTGCAGAAATTTGACAAGTCGGGTCGCATGTTGTCATCAACCTCGGACTGCTGGGGGGCGTAATTGAGCTGTCGTTGTCTTGCTGACGATTCTCCATCCAGAATTCTGAAACCAGTAGCTTTATAAGTCGCGATAGGATCAAATGAAGGTAAACAGTAAGCTTTGCTGCACGTACCTAGCTTGAACCTGTCTTACTTCAGTGCAGCACCATGGATCGCCCTTGTCTTACGTCAGTGCAGTACTTTGGCTCGGAATTTCTTTATGTGTGTTTCCAAACGCTAAGGCGTAACGTTTAGTAATGGTATGGGGAAGAGGACTGTCGCCTTTAAATATTTAATACGTTTGTGTTGATCGCAAGACGCGGTGCTATGTACCGCTGTCATTTTGTCATCTGTGAAGACGAACACAAATTACGATCCAAATACAACTGATTATATGTATTTGTGTAGTTGGAGATAGAGTTGGCGCCAGGTAGTCTTTTCAGTTGGCGCTGTTTAGCGCGTCCCCCTTTTCACACTAAGACGCTAAAGAAAGATTGACACGTGAACGAACACCGCATTGTCAATTAAAGTGCTAGTCGTCGTGCTGACATACGTAAGCGAAAGCTTCAATTGCACTACTTAGCTACCCGTACAATCGAGCATCGACGTCTAAAACGGCGGTGTTGGTTGGTCGCCTTCTTCCGACAACCTCATCCGACAATCGATCAGTCATCACGTCCCTTGACGCGTCACTTGTGTTAATTCGTACAAAACAAATAGCCATAGACTGACGGTACTATCCAGCGTACAACTTCCTCACCACCACTCCACCCCACCCCATCCGCCGTCGCCCCCATGTCCACACGCCAATGCACTTAACCTGCTCCAGCATGTAGCACCGTTCTCTACTGTATTCACCACAACAGCACCAACATGGACTCGTCCAATCGTCCTGTTCGATTCAGACCGCGGACCAGTTCCGCAACATCGGCCGCGTTAGCGCAGCGTCTCGAGGTGGCGGCGCAGCTGCTCCATGTCGCACGACGGCAACCCGATCGGCGCCTCTTTCCCCAGCGCCACGTACCGACTGTAAATCCTCGAGAGCAGCTCGTCTTTCTCCCGCCGCTGCGCTGCACTCCGCGCCTTCTCCGGGTCCACGTGGCCGCCCTGTCGCCAGTCCCGTTGACGGGCAGCTGCAGCGTCGGCCGCTCGCGCGCGCTTCTCGGCCGCAGACGGCTCCGCGACGTTCGCTTCTCGAGCTGCTGCAATGGCAGCGCTGCTCGTGCGCGTCGGGTGGGTGTCTCGCGGCGGAAAACGGCCGGCGCCACGAACTTCGGGCGCCGCCGCTTTCGTCGAGCGACACCCCATTCTCCACTATGCGTCGCTCGTGCGTGGGCGTCGTCCCTGTCAAAACGCATAGCAAAGGGCCCCAGCGACTTCACAGGGGTTTGCACCCACCAGTCAGTCTGTCCGCCACCCACGCTGGATTCACCCACTTTGGGGCGGCCCCAATCACCCACGCCCGCCTCGAGTCCACCACCCACCGCCGTCGCAGCCAGTCACCCACGTGCCGTCCCCTCTGTCCCCAGCACCGCCGCCGCGTCCGCCATGTCGTCCGCCATGCTCAAGATCGCGGAGCTCGAGGCCGAGTACGCGCGCACGCAGAAGAACAAGGCCACGATGAAGCACCTGTGCCTGCTCAAGGCCAAGATCGCCAAGCTCCGCCGCGAGGTCACGGACGCGGGCGCCAAGTCGAGCGGCGGCGGCGGCACTGGCGAAGGCTTTGACGTGAACAAAGCGGGCGACACGCGCGTGGGGCTCGTGGGGTTCCCGTCCGTGGGCAAGTCGACGCTCCTCACGAAGCTCACGGGCACGTTCTCCGAGGCCGCGTCCTACGAGTTCACGACGCTCACGGCGATCCCCGGGACGCTGCACTACCGCGGCGCACGGATCCAAGTGCTGGACCTGCCGGGCATCATCGAAGGCGCCAAGGACGGCAAAGGACGGGGCCGACAGGTCATTGGCACGGCCCGGACGTGCAACGTCATCCTCATTGTGCTCGACGCGATGAAGCCCGCGACGCACAAGCAGCTGATTGAGTTTGAGCTCGAAGGCTTTGGCATTCGGCTCAACAAGAAGCCGGCGAACATGGTGCTGCGGCGCAAAGAGCGCGGCGGGATCCACTTCCAGACGACGTGTCCGCAGACAGAGCTTGACGCCGACACAGTGTACCAGATCTTGCACGAGTACAAGATCCACAATGCCGACGTGACGCTGCGGGCGGACGTGACAGTGGACGAGCTCATTGACCAGATTGAAGGCAACCGCGTCTACATCCCGTGTCTCTACGTCCTCAACAAGATTGACCAGCTTACGATCGAAGAGCTGACGATCATTGACCAGATTCCGCACAATGTCGTGATCTCTGCGCACCACGGCTGGAACCTCGACGAGCTGCTCGAGACGATCTGGGACTACTGTCACATGATCCGCATTTACACAAAGCCGAGAGGCCGACTACCAGACTACAACGCACCCGTGATTCTGCACGAAGAGTCGCCGACAGTCGAGAACTTTTGCCAGCGTATTCACAAGTCGCTGCTGAAGGATTTCAAGTACGCTTGGGTCTGGGGCGCGTCGTGTAAGCACCAGCCGCAGAAGGTGGGCAAGGAACACCTGCTGCAAGATGAAGATATTGTGCAGATTGTCAAGAAGGTGTAAGGGTGACGTGTCGACGCTGTGCTTGGGATGGGAGACCGCGCTGCGATCGTTGTTGTCGCGAGATAGAGCTCGCAACGAGGGCTCGTGTTGCAGTAGGATATGCAAGGCCACAAGAATTTACGCAAAGTTCCTTTGCTGATGAGGACAAAGTGGCTGAGAGAGAGAACGAGCTGAGCTCGCATGCGAGATTGAGGAGAGTGTTTATAAAGGCGGAGTCAAGAGTGATTGATGGTCTTCTCTCGAGCGTGACGCTGGTGTTGGACTTAGAATAGAGACGGTACGTTGTCGTGAGTAGTGATACAGACCTGTCCGACATTTCACTGAAGCGGAATGCAAGTGCGGTTGACTGTTGTCACTGCATCGATTTCGTGATATTGGGTTGGGCCTGTTCTCGTTTCACTGTGTCGGATGAGAACCACAAAGAGAAAGGCTAACTCACAAGCTTTCCACTCGAGGACTTCATCGTTTGCACTTTCGCATTGTGCTGTTTGCAGTAGGCAAGTAAGTGGTCAAAGTGGAATTTGTAAATCGTAAACGTCATTTGTATCGGTGTCGACCGACTCAAGATACTTGCAGGCGCCTTTGGTTCGCACGGCTTATAAACTGACGACGACGCAAGAGCGAAAGTTCCAGGTGTATGGACTCCCAACGCTTGTTGAGACATATCGAACAAGTCAACAACTTAGTCCACGTTGTGACAGCAGTGAGTGACGTAGCCTTTTCCGAACGCAACGTCTTTTTTATGGCGGTAGATAGCAGGCTGCAATCGATGCGTGGGATGAGTGCACTGACTGAAGAAGTGCTGGTATAACATACATGTTTGGTTGGGTTGAGGACAGACACGCCCGATGGTGGCAGGTAAGCTTTCGTGTGTTAGTAGTGCAGGCAAGTTATTCGTCAAGTTTGAGCATGGACTCTCTTGCGGATGCTTCGTTCGTCAATCCAGTGAAGGCCACGTACAAGTTGCCTTTTACGAATGGTTTCTAGCCTCAAGCACCTTGTCAGAGCACGAGTAGTAGCCTTAATTTAGCGTTGGCTAATACGCCATATAAGATGTACAAGTCCAGACGGCGTTAGCACGGCGATAACGTACGCAACACCGCAACTTTCACAGTGGGTACTTTGTAAGCTGGGCTGGCTCAAATGTCTCATGTGGGTCACGAACAGATTTCCAATTGCTTAACGAGGTCATGCATTATTTGCAGCAGCCGAAGAAGACAGAGAGACACGGAGCCTTTATCATTATATGCCCTTTACTTACTGACATGTTTTTAAATAATGCCATGCATCATCCTCGTAATCGATGGCTCTGTTTAGTCTTACTCATTTGGTTGCGCGGATTTCGACCGGACGCGTGAGCAATACCTCGTCGTCCGCGCACACATTTACGAGGGTTGCACAAGTCGTTCCGCCTTGAGCAAATTATGGTATGCTGACTGGTTGATTTATTACAGGTAAAGCGCTCTTGTACTAGTGCCATTTTCGTGTAGTTTGAATGCCGGCTTATGCTTTCTGACCGCTTCTGTGTAAAGCCGTCGTTGAACATACCTTCAGACCTGCAGCAATCGATCTGGTGCAGCCACCGAGTCTTTGCGTAGAGAAGCAGAAATATGTTAACTAATGAATGCGCTGAGTAAGGTATGATGGAAATGACAAGCAAATTGCAACTAGATTTTGCACTTGCTGATAAAAAGTGCTGTCTTTCTTGTTTTGGTAGTGGTATTTCTGTCAACGTGGGGTTGAGCTGCTCTCGTTTTCGATGGATAATTGTGCGGCATTTGATAAGTCCATTCGTTTCTCGACACTGTTTCATTTCAAAGTTTACATTACCTCTCAGTCAGTGGCTTATTCGTCGATCCTTTTTAGTTTCTTTAACTTGTTGTTATCAGATCTGAGCCAATGCCCACAAACAGGCTTCACCATATATCCACAAGCGCACATCAGTTTATCCCTCCTGCCCTGTATCACGAGCAAAACTAGCATGACATTGTCGAACCAAGAATGGAAGCGCACTATATTAACTCCCCACTGGTCCGATGTAGCTCTACCATCTTGCAGACGTAACGCATATTGTAGTGTAGCTATCACAGCTCCGGTACAGAGTAAAAGCTTCAGCCCAAAAGGCCACATAGTTCATCGAACAAAATAACGACTTATCGAGTCAACAAGCTTTCCGAGCACGACTGAACGAGTATACTAGCTCACCGAAATGTTAGTACTGGTCAAAGATCGATGGAGAAAAAATAATGTGGCTCAAGGTGCAAGGAGTATATGCCTTCGTAAAGACTCAAACTTTACGATCAAAGGAAGCCTTAACAAGACTGAGTCACTTGTCGACTAAAATACAAAGTGATGAATACTTACTTATTACGCGGGGATGAAACTCGTCCATGTAATAATAGTAAGGTGTAACGTTCTACAAAAGTTAAACCCGATACGTTGGCCACGACTAGGGGCACACCCCATTTTTGCTAGGGGCACACCCGCTCGCCTAAAACGATAAAAACGACTTCACCTTTCATAGTGCAGAATAATGTGCGTAAACGGTACAGTACAATTCTATGTAGAAGCACACAACCGAATTGCTGGAATTGTTTGGCCTACGGCTCTGGAGGTTAAGGAGGGGAATTTCATCTACTGCAAAAGAAAAAAAACATGTTTTAAACATCTGTCTTGGCCGCGCAATTGCGTCTATGTCCCTCATTCTCATACAATACGATAACGAAAATACCGGATAATAACACGCACCATCTGGACTCCTAAATGGCGTACGAAGACCCGAGAGAGGGAAACTGTCGCAAAACAGCTCCGACCTCCGCCTGCCGTTCTCATTGATATCATCTTTCCTTCCAGAAACTAAATTAAAACAAACTTATACGGTTTTGCGGCTACCCAAGGGTATGCCATCGTCGTCGCCAGATCAAAGGAAACGAGGCGGGGTCTGCAATAGGTCTACTACAAGTGCGATCGTGTCTGAACCTTATGAACAGTCATAAACTCAGCAACGGTGAAAAGAAGCGACGGAATTCCAGCATGTTGATGGAATACCTCGTGCGTAATTGTATTCTGCATCTTCTTACCTGAAATGATCTTCCCGGGACGGGACATTAACCGGTATGTATTGGTACGTACCTCGTCCCAGACGGTAGCCTCAAGGTCCACAAATACTGCACGCGGTACGCGTCTGCCCGTGCCTGTCTCAAAAACAACATCGAAAACGAGTCGTTGCCACTGCCGGTGGTCAGGTTACTTGGCATCGTACCATCGGATTGGGTACCGTGTTTGAGACAGAAGAGGTCCCAGAAGGCATTGCCCGTTTGTATACCGCCCTGGCCGAGATGGATTGATAGAATCTGCGCATGGGCGGATCTGCCGTATAAGATAGGGAGATAGGGAGCAGTAGTAAGTGACAACGTCTTTTACATGTTATTCTGTCCTATAAAATGTGAAGTCCAGTTTATCATTTTAGGTGGGTGGGTGTGCTTTTATAAAAGTGGGGCGTGCCCCTTGTCGTGGCCCGATACGTATTGCTTAGGTGGCTGAATTGCCTCCATAAACGTACTTGGTACTTTCTGATTTAATTAATTGGTACACCACAGGGTACAAATACCCAAATCGTGGCTCCACCAAAGTGTCCCACCGTTACACCCTCCTCCACCAGACTGATGATGCCACGAATCAACATTCGTCTCATTCCTGCTCGAGGCCTTAGCAGTGGAGGAATAAGTTAGTTCACGGGTGCGTTTATTCACTAACGCTGGTATGACGCCACCTGGCGACGAGTCGTCGACTCTACGCAGCATACTCGAATAGGACATAGTAGGCTACGAGAGATCTACCGTCTTACCAAGTAGCGATGCATTCGAAGCACGTCTTTGCAGGAAACTGAAAACACTTAAGCTTGTAAATACGTAACCATAACAGGTGCCGCTGATGCACTAACAGCGATGGGTACCACTCGAAGCTATGAGCCGAAAAGAATCTAGAATATGCTCGGTGAACAACAGATGCACGAGATGTAGTCAGACGCGAATGCTCGTGCTCCTTCGAGCAACATAATATCTCTGCTGGCGAGAAATGAATGTGTCTTGCAGCGCCTAGCAACGATGGTAAAAGTAGACAAGTCGCAAAGGTATCACTGGAACAAAGGAGTACAAAACTCGAGGCAAGGACGCCGCCTAGAAAAACTTTGTACGCAAATGTCTACCTCGGTGATATCTGACGACACAAACTGGTCCTACAGATCAAATCCTGCCAATGTTAAAGGAGCAGGCACGTATTGCATCCGTATCCTTCAGGAAAAGCGTTAACATCAATCGATACCCGGGAGAAATATACATCGACAGCAATCTGCATTTCACCCGCTAGGTGTAGCAAGTGCACCGATTGCACAACATGGAAAGTATAAGAGCTAGTGATTATTTTGCTAATATTCTACCAATGCGAAAACTCCGCGATGATTTTGCAGAAGTGAAGGCCTCAGGCCGGTTGCGTATAAATGATAACCCTTCCCTGTGAATTCACAACACGCTAAATCAAACACAAGTGCTTTGGCTACGACAGCCACAAGTTTAATTTATGATATGGAAAGTAGCTCCTTCTCAACCGCACCTACTCGCGTAAGGCGTTTTGGGCCGCAAGTGGGTCCTGCACGCGGCGTTCGGAAAATGTCAACGGCGTAGGGGAAGTCTTGCCGCGTATCTGAATTGTCGCAAGTCCTCAGACTCAAATATATCTATGCCACTCACAATTACCACACCGTATCATGAATTACTTGATATAAAAACATTAAATTTTGGCCATCACGACGACATCGTTTTAGGCATTTCTTATATGGAACTGGCAGTTTCCTCACTCACCAATCAGCACAAGCGGAGGCCGATACACCGGTGGCATCTCATGACAATCTACTTTGAGCGTATATGATGTGACGCACGAGGTGAAACTTCTTCGCGAGAGTGTGGAGCAATTAGAATCGACTGGGAACCGTTTCTATATATACATCTGTGTAGCCTCGCTTGAAGACATATTGTACATTCTAAAGTGGTGCCGCAAGTAGTGGCTCAGCCAACTTCGTCGGCCCAAACGCCTAAAGATACACATGGGAAGGATAGCGACACGGATTAAGTAAGCTACGTTAAATATGGGGTGTGCACAATTTGCGCAAACGTTTTAAGCGGATATGCAAAGCCCTTTTGGCTACGACAGTGAATGATCTAGTGAAGTGTGGACGATCAAAATGTGATACAGATAGCGAACACTAACAATATAATTGATTTGTCATGATTACGTACTACATGGTATAAGACCCAGACCTTTTAATGCAGCTTCTGCCTCTTGCATCCAATTAGTTGGCTCTTAGTCATTGCATCACGCACACGACGGATTTATCGAGGTATCGCAGTGGTACAACCTTTTCACTTCGATTTGTGGGTGATGAAAAGAATCTGATCATCAAAGGCCATATACACACCGAATGTGAGAAAAAGTACAAGCAATTTTACCAAGGTACTCCAGATAGGATTCAAACTTAAGCTAGAATTTTACATTATCACGACGTTGCTGGATCAGCATGTTGGTCCGCTTCCACTGACCTTCAGCTCTTTTTCAATCTCGACGGTTATACACCTTTACGACAGCTTCTGGCCCGCGCATCGATTTCTTTTGGGCTAAAAGGCGGCTGTTTCGTTAAGTGTATCGAAAAAATGGGCCAAGTTGCAGATTCATGGTTGTACTGGGCTACTTTATGATAGATGCTGTACCTTTGCAATTGCTTAACATTGACGAAAGAAGACGCCATGTTTACGTTTGAAAGGTTCATTTAAGTCTGGATCTCTGCCCGTTGAACGTATGAAGACCGATGGAAGGCTGACTCGATGTGAGCATGCTTCCGGCCTTATTCCATTTCTCGCTGTAGGAAGCGATCGATAAGCTTATTAGTTGGCAAACGAAGCCCGAACTGGCACCCGATAGCATAATTAAGATAAGGGAGCTAGCTACGTTTAGTATAATTGTGGTTTTTCTACCACATGTCCTATTTTCTTACTTTACTGTATAAAGACAAATGCGTGATGGCTACCTGCTCGCTATCCATTGCGCGCGTCTATCGATCATTGGACGCTTTGTTGGCTGATATAGAACTATGTCAGTCATTGAAACGATGAGTAAGTATCGTCGACCACGGTTAACATCTACAATCGACGTTGACGTAATGTCAATTTTGTGACACGGGGTGACTTTGTTGCACACCCTATCCGTTAGAAGAGTCAATGGCTGTTGTAAAAAGCCCCGCCGACTCATCTTAGTTGACAAAGCGATCTGGTTATTGGGAGTAACGCTATGACTTTGTCGTATTGTATCAGCGGTTTGGCGTCACAAAAGAGACACGTGATGTTTAATTAGCGCCTACCATTATCCACGAGCGCTTGCCAAGTCGACATACGCTGCGTTAGGATCGCTAAGTAAGGGTCACTATATTTTGTTTGCTGAGTGTGGGGATCGATGAGTTCAGATTGCTAAGATCAGACATCCATTAAACTTGAAGTATATGCAGGAGAATTGGCGAAGGAAGGAAAGCGACACAAGTGGCTTCCGCAAGGTTAAGCCAATCGATCCACCCACTTAAGTGCAGAAAGCACATCTGCCAATACGTGGTGATACCATTCCCGTCACATTGCATCGAAGAAGATGCATTCATCAGTGGCCAAACTTACGTAACCTTTTCGAGACTTATCAAGCAAAACTGGTCTCGCAGCTGCTGCTACAATTGCATCACTGGTCACTCTGTTTGCGGAACGGAGCAGAGCAGCGCAGGTGGCCGAACTATTTTACGAGTGAAAAACAATGAAAGGTCACGGCAACGTCACACGTCAAACGTGCGAGATTGTGTCAGCAACGCGATTCTTTACCTCATGCCGCTGACGAGGATACTGCTTTGGGCCGATGCTGGCGCTCTGTGTACTTTAACAATCAAGCTGCTACTCGATGGACGAGGTCGTTTTGGTGTTGTGGGTGTTATCCTAGAAGATGGCCACTGCTGGCTAGTGAACGTACAATTACATTGTATCGGTAGCTTGCGCGTTGACAACGCCACACCAGCTTTGCATATGAAGCAAGATAGCAGAAAGATAAACAGACGGCTATCAGGCACTTTTACTGTGAGCTGCATACTCGTATTCACGAGCAAAAGCTTATGAGCTTGCACCTACGCCTAGGCGTTTCCCACGCAGCATATTCGCCAGCTTCGTTCTCCCCTTAACTCGAGTCGACCTGGCTTCGTGTGCAGCAGTCCCATAGCACGGTGGTAGACCACTTCGCTACGTACCCATTGGCAGAGCTGATTCTGGACTTGGCGTCAAAAGCTGCCTCGAACAACAGTCGCGTATCTTCGGTCACGAAAGACCGTAGGCCAGGTAACTAAGCCACGAGATGGTTCATGTGCCTGCTCGTCAATGTACAGCTGATACAAGTGCCGAGCCCAACCAGCCTCTTTCACTTTCGAACGAAACGAACACGTTGTTGGACATTGTCACATTCAGAGCAATTTCGAGCCCCCCCCCTGCTCTGAAACCTGTTCGCGCTCATGTGTTCACAGCGATGAAACAATATGTATCGATTGCAAACGCAAAGTCAAGCCATCCGGTCGTTATAACAAGTCCTGGAAAAACAGTTTCGCGCCGTCGTGGCGCACCGAAAGCGTACGCCAAACAACACAGTCGTTCCGCCGCCGGACCTCAAGCAGTCGCCGTTTCTCACCGCTTTTGTTGCTACTGCCACTTGAGTCGGACATTCCACCCAACGGCTGGCTGGATACACACATACACAGACATACGTTTATACATGCATCCACACATTCAGGCATACGCACATGCATACCCCCTTTCAATCGACTCACCCTCTTCGACCTTCAAGTGCAAACGTCCCATCCGTCCCACGCTCTTGTGCGCCTCTGGCTCTTTTCTGTGCCATCTGCTGCACGTACTACGCTACCGCAGCTGTTCGGACGTCAATGGCGTCAGCGCGCCCCATTTTTACCCGCATTTCGCCATGGGCCATGCATGCCTCGCTCCTATTGGTCGATAATCGACCCCGGCCGTCGTCTCACACAACCCCCGGCGAGACCGCACGACGACGGCGTGTGCGTGCGTCATCGCCTGCGAGTGTCGCGTCCGCGCCGCATCTGCATCGGGAAGAAGGAGCGCGACCAGACGCGCGTGGGGCCGTCGCGACCCGCACAAGTCTCTGCTTCGGTCGCTGCCCCTCTCTCTCTCTCTCTCTCTCTCTCTCTTCTTCTCTGCCCATACGGCGAAGTTGTTGGCTCGCCTCTTGTGGTCACGGAGCTGGTGAGAAAAACCCTGGCACGTGGACTCGATAAAAAACCCACGGCATTGAACCGCTCGAAAAACCCAACTTTGGGTCAATCGAGACAACGCCATCGAAGCACAGACGGACCTGCAGACGGACAGACGCTTATGAACCACAGCGCGCTCGACCTGCACCGAGCGACAGCCGCGTCCGAGCCGTTCCAGCGCGACGTCAAGCGCCCGTCGTCGTCGTCGTCGTCGTCACCGGCGACCGACGCCAGTGGCCGGCGGAGCTTTGGAACGTTTCTCATGGACGACGACGCCGCAGCGTCTCCTGTGCCGCAGCTGCAGCCCACGAAACGCCTTCCGCCGCCATTGCCGCCGCTGCGAGCTCAGGGAGTAGCAGCGCCCATCGAGTACCCTGTGCCGTGGCACCAGCCCCCGACGCCGCTCGCTGCGTGTCGACCACGCGGAGTCTCCAGTGGAGACATTCCCGTGCTGGAGGCCGCTCGCGACAGCAGCCACTTCCGCTTGGACGGAGGAGAGTTGGCACGTGTGGCACTCAACGCCATCGACGAGGACGGCACAGACGCTCGCGTCGTAGTGGGCGACTACGACGACGAAGACGACGACGATGTTGTGCCAGTGCTGCAGACGGCAGAAGACGCGATGCGAGCGCAGAAGTACACGGGCAGTAGGAAGTTTTCGTGGCGAGTGTCGGCTAGACGAGGCGTGCCTATTGGTCGCACGGTCCGTGTGCCTGATCAGGAGACGCTCTTGAGCATGTCGACAATAAGCACGGAGCTGTCGTCGTCGAGCTACGAACTATCCAACAGCAGCTCCCAGGAATCGAGGAGAAGCTCGACTCCACCTGTGCGAATCGATCGTGAGCTCGTGCGCAGCGGATGGCTGTACAAACAGGCAAATGTCATGTACGTCAGTCATTGCCGTGCTGCTTTCTTCTTGTCAAGTGGGTCGGTAGTTTGTCAAATGAGTCGGTTTCGGGACTAATGCGCTTTTTTGCGCTACAGGAAAACGTGGAAACGACGGTATTTTGTGCTAATCAAGCGCACAAATGTTGCAACAGGGGATTACTGGGCGTCACTGCAGTACTACAAGGGCAACAATTTTGGCAAGCTGCGAGGAGAGATGCACTTGCAAGACGGCATGCTGTCTGTGCGGTTTTTGGAACCAGATGAGACAAAGCGGCCATTTTGTTTCGAAGTAGCTGGCGAAGACTTTTCGTTTGTTTGCTCTGGATCCAATGATGACGATGCAAGTGCCTGGGTGTGTCTGCTGCAGAGCTTGTCAGGCGGAGGGGGCAGCACTATCCCACCGTCGGGCAGCTTGCTTGGTGCGTCGGCGACGAATCGGCTTTTGCATTCGGGAGATACTTCGAAGGGCAATCGAGCTCGTCCCAGCACCATCGATTCTCGGAGTATCCGAATCGTGGCAGAGTTGCGGAAAGTGCTGCACACGAGCAAGTCGCCAGAAGCCGCTCAGTATAAAGGGTTCATCGGCTCGTTTGAGTCCCGAGGCACAGAAGCGCTTCGCCAATTTCGAGAGTTCCACGCAACGCTGACGGAATCCATCGTGAAAGACCACGGTGCTCGTATCTTGGCAGCACTCAAGGATCCAGGCGACGATGATATAAATGCTGCTAAGAGTGTGGACAAGAAAGAAGCCGCACAGCCGATATCACTTGATATGGTGCGGATGGCCATATCTCGTCATGTGGAAGAAGTGTTGTTTGTACCGCTTCAGGACAAAATCAATACCGGTCTCCGTCGCGTGTACCACGAGGAAGAGTCCTCGATAAACCGCAAAGTTAGATGGCTGCAAGGAAAAGACCAGATGTACTTCAACATCCCGCTGCATCAAATCTCGTGGAAAGAGTGGCGAAAAGCATCTCGAATCCTTGCTCAAATAGCTCAAGTGTCTCTTCCTGCAGCAAAGTACGACGTACTGACGAGTACGATCCGAAAGATTCAGGCAACGTACGCTGACGAGCACGACACGGTTACTGACTTGGAGGCACTTGAGACCGACGACATTATCCCGATATTTACCTACGTGTTGTCGAATAGTGGCCTAGAGAACCTCATCTCGCTCAAAACCTTGTTGACTGAGCTGAATGGTTCGTGGGCCGTTGGCAGGTCGCCTGATGATGAAACGTCGCTCAAGATATTGACGTACGCGGTGGATTTTATCAGCAATGTCAGCATACCTGCTGTACTGGAAGACATTTTCAAGGACCAAATTACGCTTTCGATTGACGGCGACTGGCGCCGTGTGTTGGAGTTTGAAGTGGAGCCCACGTATCGTTACGGTGCAATTGTAGAGCATATATCACCTCATGGCTACTCGGCTGTGGGGAACATCATCACTCGGGGCTACGTGCTGGTGACAGTGAATGGCCAAAATGTGGTATTGTGGCCGTTCCAAGACATTATGACATTACTTCTCGAGTCAGCGTCTCCCCATCGGTTAGCGTTTATCCCTGGAAGTAGTTACTTCAAAATTCTGACGTCAAATAAGGCGCTGTGGAATGTGGCGTTGATGCATGCGTGCCAGCGCGGTGACGTGTTTAGCGTGCAAATGCTGCTTGCAAACGGCGCTGACGTGAATTATGTTGCTCATGAATGTGGAAGTAACACACCACTGCATGTCGCAGTCAGTGCTTTACATTTTAACGTTGTTTCGTACATGCTTCAGCACGGCGCTAAGGTAAAGACTATTGGTGAATGTGGTCGCAGCGCACTGCACATGGTTGGGTCTCCTTGTACGATGCCAGCCACAATCAGTGCGTCTCGTGATATCACGAAAGCCTCAAGTGGAACATCGGCTACGCTGAGCAACTCCGATAGGGCGGTGTTGATCATCAAGAAACTACTGGGTCACGGCGCGCACGTCGACACTGTTGACATCTACGGCAACACGCCGATCATGTTGCTGGCAGAAAGAGGTTTCCTCGGTGGAATTGACGTGATCATGGAAGCAGATAGCAAGATTGATCTGAACGCTCGAAATTGGCAGCGTGGCATGTGCGCTCTCGCGCTTGCAGCAAAAAGCGGCCAAGCGAATGTAGTGGAGGGATTGCTAGATTATGGCGCTCAAGCTGACATTCGTACGCTGCATGGTGAGACTCCACTACATTTCGCGGCAGCTGGCGCGAGCCAACGCGTGTGTCAGTTGCTTGTAGAAAAAGGCTGCGATGTCGATGTCCGTACGAGCGAAGGGTTGACTCCGTTGATGGTCGCAGTTACGAAAGATCATTGCACGGCGATTGACAGTGTGGACGTTTTGTTGCCGTCTGGAGCATCCCCAGTGATGGACCACAGCAATCTCCGCAAGGGGCGGCACGACATGACGTATGGCTTGCGAGGCAACATAAGCCTGGATAACTCGTCTGTCATTTCAACGATGAATTATCTCGTGCAGAGCGGTGCTAAGATATCCGCGGTCTGCGAAGCGTATCGTACGCCCTTACATTATGCCGCTCTTTCCGGATGTGACGAGTTGCTTGCGTATCTCACGGCAAAAGTAGGCGACGATACGAGTGCTGGAAGGCGCGACTTGTATGGGCAGTCAGTGGCGTCTATAGCGGAAACTGGTCGAGCCTCTCACGCGCATGCGATTGGAGCCGCATCTGACGACAAAGACTTAGCAATAGTCGATGATTGCAGTGTGATGGCAGAAAACGATGACTCTGATGACGATGACGACGACATCGATGACTTGGAGCATGCTGACATCCCCATGTCACTGACAGGGCGCAAAGACCTTTTGGGAAAGGGTTTGAGCATCAAGGATCTTGTGACTGAAGAAAATGATGGAGTGGAGGAAATCATTGCAGGAACATTTGATGCCATTGCCAATTTTTTGTTGCGCTATGAAAATTATCGTATGGAGGAGTTAGGCGCACTCATATGGTCCTGCGGGTACGCATCGAGCGGAGGTGGGAACACGTTCAAAGATACGGTAGACATATTGCAAACTATGCGGAAACGGTACTCGGTCGGAACGGAAGCTGGTTTTTACGTGCGAAGAATGCTGCTGAGTGCACTGGATAAGTTGGTGGAGATATTGAAGCACAGTGTTGAGTGCGATACGGCCGTGTGCAATTACGTAGCTGATCTGTACACGGAGTTGGTTCCTGTGCAGGACGAACTGGCCAAGGAGGACCCGCAGTGCGCGCAATGGCTCTGCGCGTCGCTATTGCCTGAGTTCGCAGACGCTTGTCTGTCGAACCATGTGCATGAGTATCAGGTACTGTCGTTTTGCGAGAGTGATTACACGTCCCTGAAGCAGTTCATTTGCACAGCGAAGCAGGCGAATCCGAACGTCGAGTTTCTCGATGACGAGTTGTTTGGCGTTGCCACGGGCATGGAGATTATCACAGAAGCGATGCGGCGCCGAATGTCTCTCGCTGGTGTGTGGAGGACGGGAGGGGGAAAGAAGTCATTTGTGGTAAAGCAAGAGGAGACATTCGACACCATAGCTGAAGAACGGTCGACCACAATTACACCCTGGCAGCCGAGGGGCGTGAATGTGGGCCGCGCGTATGCTGTAGAGCAGCGGATGGTCAGGTTATGGTGCGTGTCGCTGCAGCCTATGGTACATGCTCATGGCTAACTGGTGTCTATGTCATTGTTTGCAAAAGGATCTTGGACTTGGACCCAAGCATCATCGCACAGCAGATCACTCTGATACAGCACTATCTATTCAGCAAGATTAAAGGTAACGACTCAGAGTTGCATTCTTGCGGACGTCGACCCAAGCAGAGTGCTGGCGTCGTTGCTGATACGTTTTGTGCTTGCAGTGTCTGAAGTTCTTGCATCCAAGCGCAACGCCGAGAAGACGCCAGGGTATCAGCGACTTCGGTTGCTGCACAATCACGTTTCCACTTGGGTGGTTAGTCAGATTCTTATGCGAAGCGACGTGGACCAACGTGCGGAAATCCTCGCCTACTTCATTCGTGTCGCTGGCGTGCTGCTCTCCCCTCTGCAAAACCTGGATGGGTTTATGGCCGTCATGAACGCAGCAAACGACTCGTCCATTTTCCGTTTGAAGAAAACATGGGGCCGGCTACCGCCACAAGCGCGGGAATTGTGGCAAGAGTTGATGCCGCTTACAGAGAAGGGTGCTCGGCCACTCAACAAGCTCACGAAAGAATCGACGCCACCGCTGATCCCGTATTTGGGTGTTGTGATCCAAAACGTGATAGCGTTGCAGGAGTACCCAGACCGTGTGGAGGGAGACTTGCTCAACTTCAAAAAAATACGCTCTATCGGCTCTCTCATCCAGAAACTGCTATCGTTTCAGAAGACGCCGTACTTGCTACCGACGGACAAGCGTGTTTTGGTAAGGTCAAAACGATATGCTTGCATCTGTACGGCTTCATGGATGGCTGATACTTATTTGTGTCGGCGATGTTTTTGTAGGAACATATTTGCTCGCCAGTTCCCTTCGTAGATGGCGACGCGTGTTTTACGCGCTCGCTAAAGATTGAGCCCCGCGTCGCTGATGCTGCATCCGAGACTACATGATAATGTGAACTGCACATCGGCAGCGGCTAGTCGATATGGAGCTTGCATGCTTGGCTGCACACCCCGTGCAGCCGGGAGAAACACCGTGTGGTGTGCTGGTCAGCGATATCTCGGATCGGGGCTTTCGGAATAGCGGATGACAAAAGGCGGATTCGCCAAATGTGAAAGAATAAACAATGTGTAAGTAATAATTTCTAGAGCTTACTGACTTCAAGTGGTCTTTGCTTAGTTATTTACTTGCTTATCCGTGCAAAGTCGGAGCGTTTTACGGATATGGTGTTTGTTTTGTTGCCACAATAGCAGCGTACTGTAGCGCGGCGATGATCATGGCACTATAGCAGTCGATCGATATCTGCTTCGACTGAGTGCTCTATTGAGTCCACCTGGTCTCATCATTAGAAGCAGCTCCTGTCGACCTTCTCGTCACGACGGCATGCAGCTTCTATACAAGCGGTTCTTGCTATCGTTTGTCAAAAGCAATGTTCTCACATCTACGCAGCTGTCTTGTACAATCTCGGGATGTCGACGATCTTTTTCGACATAAGAATGGATGTCAGCGGGTTTGCTGCGATCAAAAGGACGAAGCATCTCCAGTCTTTGCTTTGTAGCTATATATGCAGCACAACACGTCAACACACTACGCCATCTCGGGGACGCGTCTTCTCAACGTCGACCTACCTCAACGCGTCTTCAGACTGTCGCCCATGTAACAGACTTCGGACAAACCTGTCACAGTCATTTCACAGGGTGATAATAGCACAATCGGGTGGCAAAATGGCTCAATGCAATCGATCAACAAGCTGCAGCGATGCGTACGACGTCTGTACTATGCTCTACCTCACGACAATTCCTGCTGCCCTTTTGATCGATTGCTACGTAGAAAAGCTGAAAATAAGGTTTTGCATCATACCATCATCTCGATATGGCTACTCGGGTCGTCTTTGGGAACGGCGCACGTTCGATAGCTTGATCATCTACGGAGTCAAAGGTGAAACAAAGCTGACGATGCTCTGCTGTTTTAAACCAATGTATGGCTATGCAAAAACCGAAAAGTTTGTTATTGGAACGAGTCGTTCGGTGCGACGAGACTGCGACTCATCTTTTGCGTCGACAGAAGCCGTCAGAATATATCGCTGCCATACTTAACAAAGCGATGAAATAGTCGTCTGCTTTCACCTTTTCGAACTTGTCAAGAACCAGAACTTGCCTCGAATAAAGAGCTCTTTGCACAGGATGAAACACTCCAACGGGTTGTAATGCCACTTTGTACAAAACACGACCGTAAGTAAATTACGACAACGCTCTGAAGCCGTTGTTGGCAGTATGTTGCATCTTGAAGCAAAACCACAGTGCTTGCTCATTGTCCAGTTGGCTTCGCATATACTTTTGCTACGACAAAAGAGGAAAGATGAAAGAGGTGGAGTAGAGGAGTCGGGACCTAAGCGGTCTTATTGAATCGACTAAACATATTACGCTCGCACAAGGCAGAGGTGGGTAAAACTATGGTGTTGCGAGTCGCCCAGTCAATGTATATACCAAAGCCAGCGATGAGGGATCTGGAAATGTTTGCTTTCAAACGCATGCGAAATCGACATGGATACAAACGACATCGTTTGGTAGCGAGGTCATTTCGTAAGACACCGCTGCTCCATTGACGACGACTTTGAAGCACCTGATTGTCTGTGCGAGGCACGTCATACTTAATAACGAGGTCATTTTACCCAGTCCACCACAGAGATCCGTCCGTAAGTTTCGGTAGCCCGGTAATTTACTCGCATTTGCCGGGTTCAATACCTGTGTTTATCGGCGTCGAGCACTTTGTATCACTTGCACTTGTCGAACGAATTCGACAATAAAACCCAGCTCAAAACGACACGCAAAGTCGACGACCCATCCGTCACCCAAAAAACCCACTTGGTAGTCAAGCATTATCACCACCGAAACGGAAGTGTCGGAATGGATCCACACGTGTTCCAGACGAAGCTGGCGCTGGCTGAGAGCACTGAGACGCGCGACAGCTGCGTTGAGCTGCTGCGTTACGTCCGCAGAGAGAAATTGCGCGAGTCCGGCGCTGTCGCACGCGTGGGAAAGCTGCTAGTGACCAAACACCGCCGAGGACTCGGCGACGAACGTAATTGTGCTAAAACATCCGAAACGAAAATGCTTTAACCGTTTTAACGCCATAACTGTGCAATGTTTTTTGTTTGGTCACGTAGTGTGGACGGTGTACGAGCAAACGTTCATCGCCGCTCTGGACCTGCACGATGACGAGCTGGCTGAGGTAATAACGACAACAAGCATTGTCGCGTCGCTGTCTGTTTGGATGACTTATTGTGGGCGCTTTTTTTCACCCGACCAAAACTGGATTTCGCTGGTTTTACGATACGATGTGTTTTAAACAGACCTGTCTCAAGGCGCTGCAAAGCCAGTTCCTAGACAGCTCCCGCGTTGCGCGGCTGGAGGGTATGCAGCTCGAGCAGCAAAGTGAGTTCGAAAAGGCGTTGGCACTATACGACAAGCTGCTGGATGCCAATCCGGCCAATGCGTTGGTGCTGAAGCGCAAGATTGCAGTGCTCAAGGCGCAGAAAAGGACCGCAGACGTTATCGCTGCGCTCAATGAGTTCCTGCGCGGCTTTGGAACGGACCATTCAGCTGTATGTGTGGCAGCAGCTGTCGATGAGATCGCGTCATTGACGTAGCAACAGAGTTCTCACGATCGTGCTTTTTCGTGACGGCGTTGATGTGGACGTGCAGTGGACTGAACTGGGCGAGACGTACCTGTCGATTGGCACGTATCGCTACGCCGCCTTTTGCTACGAGGAGCTGGTGCTGTTGAACCCCATGGACGCCATTTACCACAGTCGACTAGCAGATGTACGTCGAAACGCGACGTAACTGCTACGATACGTTGGACTCGTCGATTGTAAACGCTTGTTGTGATCTCTCTGTCTGCAGATTTACTCGACGATTGGCGGTCTGGAGAATCTGCTGAAGGCGCGCAAGCACTACGCCCACTCGCTCGAGCTGAACAAGAAGCAGAACCTCCGAGCTTACTTTGCACTGGTGACCTGCACCAAAGCAATCGCAATGCAGCGTGCCTACCGTGCGGACCAAGACGATGATGGAATCAACGAGCGGCTGCAGACGTTTGCACTCAACTGCATCCAGGACATTTATGCCACCTACTCGTCTCCTGATCTTGCTGGAATCGGTACGTGATCAGTGCGCTGGAAACAACTTGCGAGTGTGCTTGACCTGATCAGCGGCGTGAGTGGCTTCACTTGTTGTGCTCTAGCGCAAGCGACGATCACGGCTCTGTAAAGGACAAATGACGCGGAACAGGACGGCGACGACGTACAATTGATGACTCGTGTCTTCTTAACATGTGCTGACCGATAGCGGTGTGATAGTCTAGATCCACACTGCTGTGTCATGTTGCTTCGTCTGATCGTTCAACAACGCTTGTGAACCATATGGACCGCTCCGTGCTCCCGTTAATCCAGCGTCCGTGCTGCTCCGTACGCCACAGCAAGATCTGGATCGATGTCTGAGAGCGGTGCACGACCTTGGAACATAGCAGTGAGACGCTCGCGCACCCACGGGATTCGCGACGATCCTCCTACCAGTACTACGGCATCAATCTCTTCGGACACCATGTTGTTGGCTTCAAGCACCTCGCGCACTGGAAGCATTGTGCGCTCCAGCAATGACCCACACATCGTCTCGAATTGCACTCTTGTCATCTCCACGTTTGCTCGAGTCTGGTGCACCGCCTCCGATCCAGGGTCGTCCCATAGGCAAGAGGCGCTGGCAGTAGGAGCATCCGTGAGCTGTCTCTTGAGGAGCTCGGCAGCACGGCGGACCCCGGTCAGTGTACACGGTAGCTCTTTGTCGTCATCGCCATGTCCGTTAGCGTCGGCTCCACGCGACGTAATCGGAGCGCCGAGCTGTGCTTCAAACTGCTCCACCAGCCATGCTGCCAAGCGTGCGTCCAGATCTTCACCCCCTAGATGGTTGTCTCCAAGCGTGTCGAGCACAGTGATAGCTCCGTTCCGAGCGTAGAGTAGTGAGACGTCCAGCGTGCCGCCACCAAAGTCGAACACCAGCAGGAAACTCACATTCGGGTCTTGGTGCAGACCATAAGCAATCGCCGCAGCTGTCGGTTCTTCCAGCACACGGGACACCTGCAATCCTGCGGCTTGAAAAGACGCCACGGTGTCATTGCGTTGCTTCGCGTCAAAGTCCACTGGCACTGCAATAACTGCCTTTGTGATCTGGTCGTGGCCGACAAAGTGGTGGGCCATATCGCGGAGATGCCGCACGATCCTGCTGCCGATTTCAACTGGCGTCACGCAGTCAGAATGGCCGTGTAACTCGATGGCAAAGCATACTCCGTCGTGGTCACCGTCTTGCAGCGCCTTCACGCTGAACTCGTACGGCAGAGTGCCATGTGTGTTGGCCTCTAAGCCCAGCACTTGTTCGTACCTGAGACACAGAGACACGACATGAGTTCTCGCTACTGCTTCAGGTATGTAGCACTGTCTGGTCCGTCCCGCACCTTCGACCGATGAACCGTTTAGCATTAAAAATAGTGTGTCGGGGGTCTATTGCTCCGTGCTCTCGTGCTTTGCGGCCTACGGCTGCGTCTGAGAGCAGGAACAAATACACAACATACACAAGACCAATGCATGAGCTTAGCACAGCAGTAGACACGATCGTATCACACGCACAGAGACGGACCTCCATTGGGCAGGAAGGCAACAGTGGACGGCACGAGTGTGTAGCCATCTTTGTCTGCAATTGCAGTCACTTTGCCCTTCTGAGAAATCGCGACGACTGAGTACGTCGTGCCCAAGTCAATGCCCACCACTATCACGACAGGACAGTAGTCAGTACACATCCAATAGTGAAAACTACTATCATCACCACTACGAGTAGCATAGCATAGCAGCATCAGCAGCAGTAGTAGTAGTAGTAGTAGTAGTAGTGGTAGTAGTAGTACAACAACAACAACAATAATAAGTGATACAACTATTACAGTACCATCACTACTACTACTACTATTACAATGCCAATAGTTATGCTATGCCCGTCACGATGTGACTGTACCGTGATCTCTGCCAGTGAACCCGTGACGAGCGAGCAATGCGGCGAAGACGGCAAAGAGGCCGCCGAGCAGCAGCAGAAGTGACCCAATGTTGACGTGGAGCCCTCTGGCGGTCGTTGTGGCCCGTTCGGGTCTCGTGGGCCGCGACGACATTCGACTTGTGCGTCCGCCACGTCAGCGACGACAAGTGCGGCTGCCGATTGGCTACATGTATAATCCCTGTGATTGGTGATACTCGTGGCGGCATTAAATACGGGACACTCGAACAGGTCTGAGAGATTGTAGAATGGGTACACCTAAGCGTTCGATTGATAGTTCGTTGTAGGCGACATCGCTCGGTCAGTTATGAAAACGCGATCGATTTTGCGAACCTTTTGGAGACGGTACAAATTCTGCGACTTGATTATGAACGAGCTAAATTGTGCCACTTTCTACAGCCACTTTGCATTCTTCGAAGCGAAAAGTGCCAGAAATCAAGCGGCAGAACTGGACTCACCTGCACGAGTCGCAGATGGAAAGAGTGCAACGATTGCTCGAGTCACCAACGCAGACAACCTCAATATTACGACCTCATCTTATTGACTCAAGTAAGCAACTGCGATTACTGGTGCCTCACTTACGAAGAGCTATCATTGTCATTAGTATACATTTCATGCACAAAGCTCTGCAACACTCGTCTCATTTCTTCGCTGGATGGTCAATCGTAGAGTACGCATCGTGGACGTTGCCACAACGACCGTAGAGCAATTATGTCGATGAAGTGAATTACGCTCGTGATGAGCTCAATCACTTACGCTCGACCAAAGCAAAGTGGTCTGCAGGTATCATTGACAGCAACAACGAGCATTCAGGTTCCACCACGTACCAAGAAATGCATCACAGCTAGTCACGCCATTCCACTCGAAACTGCCTCCAAGTAATATCAAAGCGCGTGAGATGCTGCAACAAGACCGACTTTGCGACACGTTCAACTACAACAGCAAGTACATATTGGCAACGAAGAAATGACGAAATGACATGAGAGCCCTCCCGCTACGCAGATGTTCGGCATGCTAGACAAGTTCTGTGCGTTTGTGTGCAGTCTGCAGATGATTCGCTCGTTGGCCATGATGACTCGATCTCTATCCTCAAACTTCGGTGTCTTGGCGTTGTTCGATCCGAAGCGTCGATTGTCAAAAGAGTTGCAATGCTTGGACGTATTTGTAGCGACAGCACTACCTAAATTACTAACACTCAGCTTGTTTTGGTCAATAGAAAGCAACAAGGTATTACTTCGTGCTATCGGAACTCTGCTCTGAATAAATATGATGCTTGGTATCATGTCCATCCAACGAGCTCTGAAACTCTGTCGAAATCTGCACTGCTTTCGTTTGGCGCATCACTCGCTCGTCAAGCAGGTTCATTACTGCGTGAGTTGCTTCCTCCGACGGATATCATCGTCGACAATGACTCGTCGAGCTCTTTGTCCGCAACTCTTCCGTACCTTCATATATCCAAGTACAACTTGTCTTTGACAATCAACGCTTTTCAATTCAGCAAACAACAGACGTCAGATGCGTTTGCAAACAACCAAGTTCTTCTCGCTCACACGTACCGCGGCTCTTCCACTAGCTAGTCAGCTCGTGTGGCATGACGATGCGCTCCGGATAAAAAGTGTGGCTCGACGGGTATATCCAACAAGTTCTCGAGTCGCGCTGAGTAGATATCGACGTAGCGCTGAACAATAAATGCGAACTGCGAAGGGTACGTGTCAGCTCGAAAGACCGATCCAAAGTTGACATTCATGAGATTGTCCATCTCCATCTGAAGCGTCTCGTGAATAGTGACAAGCTCATCCACGAAAGCATGGTTCTACATCACGGGGACGAAAACAAAGTGTCAAACAAACGTCGTCGTATGATATTGCACAGCCTCTTACTTGAGTTGGTGCCGAGCGAAGCTCGTTCTGGATGCTTCGCATCAGCTGCTCCACTTTGTCGATCTGGAAACGAGCAAGTCATCGTAATTTTATCATTGACTTTCAGCAGCTCACGTACGCACGTAGACCGAGCCGCACCTGGAAGGCTAGCCACTGGTACCCAGGAGTTCGCTGAACGCGCATTTCATCCTCTAGCTCGCTTTCTCGCACCGCAAAAGTACACACCGTGAAAAGGAGGTTTGGTGCTTGAGTCGTACACAACTTACCGAATGATCGCACCCGTTCTCCAGCCGTTAGCACGAGAAGGCTCGACCAGATCTGAGAACAAATTGTCGCTGTTTGCAGGTTAGTGGTGCATTCATCCACGTTTTACCAACCTATGGACTAGTTTATGACATACCCGATATAAAGCACGCGGTTTCCTACCCATCCGGCCAGCTTAGACAGCTGATGCATGCTTCCTTGAGTGTAGACATCGCCTCGGTCCAACGCTTGCACTGCGTGCCACTACTCAGTAAAACACGATTATCGTTAGAGTATGTCAGAGTGATTCGAGTTCCGCAGCATTTTACCTGCACTTGTTTGTGCTCGATATCCAGCACACGGAATGAGCGCTGACGAGTGTAAAAAGAGGGCTTTCGTGCACTGGTACTAACCACATCAAAGAGCTGTGCCAACATCGTTGGCCACTTCAACATAGCCAATGCAAGCATCCTACTCTTTGTCAAATGACCCACGTACATCTCGCCAGTCGTCCCCCAACATGTACCTCAATCCAGCATTGACGTACGAAAACGAGCTATTTGTACACAGGAAGCTCTTCTTGCCACAGTTCTAGCAAGACATCGTACTCGTCAGCAATTTGGCTCACACGCGCATCAGACTACCACTTTTGCCACACCCGCATGCGCTCTAGTAGCGGCCTCAGAGTCAGGTTGGGCTCAATGAACCTCGTCAAATCTCGCAACACCTCCTTGTGCATTTCTCCACTAAGGTGAACGTTTGTGATAGCGTGGTCCACGTCTTCCACGAGCGCAATAGGCTCGTACTCAATATGATGTTCCATCATGTACTGCACAACGTCCGCGAACAAACACGCGTGTGCAACGCTAAACAGGTCGTTGAGCGGCTTCATGTTGTCAGCGCGGTCGCGCACAGAAATGTGCTTCGAACCGCCATACAACTCAATGATCTCGTCCCGCGACAGACGCTCGCGACCTCGGAACACCGCCGTGTTCGACAGTTTCTGATGAGAGCTTATCTTGCACAACAGACCCTTTTGCTTGTCAATTGCCAAGCCTCTGATGGCAAAGGTGGGGTCGTACTGCAATACCGACACACCCTCCGGGTATCGCAACTTGTGGACCTACGCGGCAACAACAACGTCAACAAATGTACACAAAGGTGAATGTTGGTACATGTCCACACGCATCCAGTTCATCAACGCCCGCGACCAAATGCACAAATGCATACACGACCGACGCACCATATAGTCTCGAGCCATGGCATAGATGAGGTACTGCAGTTCGTCCGTATAATGGCACAGCGTGTAGTCATAGTCTAGTTACCCCACACACGATAAGAGTCAGGTTCGTAAGCACAGCGCGACGTACGAACCACAACAAAAACTCACCAAAGCCAACAACGTCAATGCTAGATAACCTGTCAATATCATCCGTCATAAGACAGCAACAATAGATGACAAGTCACCATTTGTTACGGCCGTGTTGCTCTCATCTATTTTTTTCGCTCTTCAACAAGTAATCATTGAGTTATGGATTTGCGGTAGTACCGTAAGTGGTTGTTGGCGAACACGACTTCTGATTCGGTACGCTCGATCGGTGCAAACAGCTGCAGGTCGCGCTGTAGTAGTGCCACCGAACAGGCTTTAGCCACACAACATTTCGATGGTCGCCACAGTTGCATTCCACCCTAAACCTCGTAGTTTTCCACCAATCGGTGAATCGCAGGCAACGACGCCGGGATCGACGCGCGCAGCTGCGGCACGACGGAGAGGACGGACCGCGAGCGCGCCAAGAGCGGTCGACGTGGAGACAGAGACGACGGAAGTAGCGGCGGAAGTAGTCGCTTTGCTGCTCTCGTCCACAACGCCATAGCAGCAGTCGTTGACGAAGAAATGTGGGCGCTCTATGGATAAATTACGGCCTGTACCCATTTGTGTAAACTACCGTGTTGCGCCACGACCGTATGTTGCGCCGAGATTAATGTGGCGCCACGACCATATGAGCCGTTAAGACCGAATGTTGTGCAACATTAGAGTTATGACGTTGTGTTATGCGACACAACGGAAAATCATGGAGTCGTCGCCATGAACGAGCAGTTTGCTTGGCCTGAACCTATTTACAAGTAGCGTTCACCGGTCTTTGCCGTGTTTGAAGCTGCAATAGCAGAAAAATTGTCAGGAGGATAGTCGATCATCAGTTGCAATTCGTCGAGCGAGTGATGACAGATGGAAGCGTCCCCATGTCGACATTCTGACTATCGGTGCATCATATCCAACTGGATTGTAGGAGAGTACAATGGGGTTGACGATTGACTACATGTGTTGGGTCTGGTTCATAAGTATGCACGCAAAAGGCGGAGAAAGTGTAGTCGCGAAGCTCTTGTATCGCAGCGAATACGTGCATCCTCTTCGCCAGACCACGTCTATGCCAACATACTCAGCTGCTTGCGACATTAGGGTAAAGAAGTTTGAGCACTGCGAACGCGTCAAGGTTTTCAGCTGCCGAGGTACCGTCATCCATACATGCACGGGCAGGAGACCCTCTCACAGCACATTAGGTGTTTCTCTGATACGAAGGCACCAGCAAGTTGGGGGCAGCTTGTTCTGCTCCGGGTGTTGACTGCAAGTCCTGCATGTACTCGACCTGTACATGGTCGTAGCGTTTGTTCACTCGCACCTCTTCTACTGCAAATTCCCTAGCGATTACCTAAGACCCGCGCGACGAGAAACACGTACTAGCAATATCTAGTCATGCTACCGATCACAATTGTGTCGGCAATAGGGCCGTGTTCTAGTTCAACGAGGTTCTTTGCAGTGAAGCAAGTACCTTACAGATGCCCAAGCGAGACAGCGCATGACACCACTTGTCAATCCGTTCGTTCGTTCGCCAGTAAACATCCGAGTGGAGCAGGCCATGCAGGTCACTCAGTAGCTCTACAGCTTGCCATCCAACACTGGTACCTCCTCGTTTATCCATCAATCAATCAATCAATCGATATCCACTCGGTACTGCCATCAATCTTTCCATCCCGTGCAACGTCTATCGCAGCATCCAACAATGGCTTCAGCATCGATCTCTCCGTCCGTACCTCTCAGATACAATCACGTACCTGCTTTGTCCGTGAAGAAGAGCCATTCGCCAGCAAAAACGTCGAAAACAGCTGGTCGTCGCGTCGTCATCGACTCAAGCCGCTCTCATCGCCGCGCTGCGTCTCTATTTAATCGAAATAAAGGCCTCACCTAATCTATCTATCTATCTATCTATTTATACCGCACCACCCTAACAACAAACAACCCAACAAACACTGCCGACCACGACCTCGACCGCGGCCAAGAGCTCTTCCGCCTACGCACACGCCTCCGCCCGCCCCCCGCCCGCCGTCATGTCTGCCCTGCAGCAGCAGAAGCGCACCGAAGCCGCCGCGCAGCTCAAGCAGGCCGAGAAGGCGCTGACCCGGCGCTCGTTCTTTCGGGGCGCGCCCGACTACCTCTCGGCAGCGCCGCTGCTGGACAAAGCGGGCGAACTCTATCGCCTCGGGGCGGACTGGGAGGCCAGTAAAGACGCGTTTCGACGCTGTGCCGACGCGCAGGCGCACAACAGTCTGCCGTTCCGCGCGGCGCAGGCGTGGGAGAACGTCGCCAAGACCGTCTTGCAGCAAGCGCAGGCCGAGCGGACCAGTCGGGCGACGACGTCGTCCAGTCAGCCGTCGCGGGTAGCAGAAGCCCGCAACGCTTTTGAGACCGCCAGTGACTTCTACGTGGACATGGGAGAGTTTGGCAAAGCTGCGGATGCGCTGGTGAAGGGGGCCCAGGCATGTGAGGGTCAGGGATCGAGTGCGGACGACGTGCTGCCGCTCTACGCACGTGCGTGCGAGCTCTTGGAGGCGCAAGACAAGCCCCACTTTGCCGTCGAGACGTTCCGCAAGATGCAGAGTTTTCTCGTCAAGCATGGCAAGCATCGTGACGCCATTGCGTTGCTGGACCGGCTGGCTGCCCTGTTTGACGCGATGGACCAGCGCCATAATGTGCACAAGTGCCGCTTGAGCCAAATCATTCTCCACCTTGCATCAGGAGACGTGCCCGCAGCCGATGCGCTCTATACAAAGTGCTTGCAGGACGACGCGTTCCTGTCGTCGGACGATTGTGCACTTGCAGAAGACCTCGTCCGGGCCTATAAAATGGGCAACGAAGAGCTCCTGCGAACGACGGTGCGCAAACCGGGACTCCTCGCACTGGACAACCAGATTGGACGCGTTTGTCGTAAATTGTCGATCTATGGGTCGGGGGATACTGTTGTTGCTGCTTCTGCTGCCGGTGGTGGTGCTGCATTGCAATCGAAGCACCATCATGGAACAGCTTTGTCGATGAATGGAAAACACACGCATCAGCACCAGCAGCAATCAGGCAAACAACGCAACTCGTTTGCACCTTCAGCGCGCGCACCTTCTGCCCAACGCAACCCATTTGCACCAACATCAAGAGCACCAGTGCAAGCGCCAGTGTCGTCCCTATCGTCGGAGTACGCAGCATCGGAGGCAACGACAGTAGCGAGCACTGGTATTGCTGACAGCGATTATGAAGCTGCATTGGCCGAAGCCCTCGGCACTGTCGATGTTACGAAAAAGACCAAGCCACATTCGCGGGCAGCTCCGGTCTCCAAGTGTCTGCCACCCGCATCGCCAAAGCTAGTGAGATCCGGCTTATCATTCGGGTTGTCTCCAACCGCGACATCCGCTTCGTCACCTGCAGCAGTGCGTGCGAGCGTTAGCTTGGAATATGGATGTGACGATCTCGAGTTTGCCATGCCGGATTCGGACTCGCTCGAGTTCTCTATGGACGACGCGGCAAGCACTGACGCAAATGGCTACCCGGATTCGTTTCGACCAGCTACAGCTCTGGCCTCCAAGACAGAGGCGCCAGTGCGAGAGCCCAAAGTTGCACCCACGGCACCTGCTTCGGTGCATGATGAATTTGATCTTACATAAAGCAGCAAAGGTCAGTCATAGCTTGGAGTCAAGCTGGCAACGAAGTATGTGTTTGTATATGGCCGAGCAGTGGCCATTGTGTGCAGTCGAGTCGTACTCGAAAGCGGGAACCGAATAGCCGAACGATCGTGCGCGTGATTACTCGCTGCAGAGTATGCCTTTGCTGTTCTTCCTATCTTTCCACACTCTGACTTGTGTAAGCACATTCAATGCAAACTATCTCAGCACAGTTCCGTCTACTGCGACTGACAGCTTCGCATTTGCATACTTCACACTGCTACATCTATCTGCGTATGTATCTACTGATCCAGTGGTCGCACGATGGCTTCGTTAACAAAGTGACAGGAAGTGACAGGAAGTACCTGCTATACTCGCTACTGGACAGCAATACTGACGTTCAGCTTGACCTGTTGCTCGAGACATTGACCAGCAGCACCGCAAAGTCCCACGCGTGCAACGCCATTCGCAACGTCAGACGTTTTTGTTGTAGGGCACAGACCCGTGGCCACAGACTCGTAGCCACTTCGTTTCTTAATGGAGAACTGGTGCGACGAGTTGACACGTCGACGGATCGAGCTATATCGATCACTGTTACAAAGCTATGCAAATCGCAGCGGTGCATCTGGATCTACGCGTTGGAGAGGCTGAAGGCGTTTGTTGCACTTGTTTTTTTGTGTGTGTGAGCCTTCTACCGCGAGGTCGGCCTCGGATGCTACTGAACGATTGCCGAGCACAAACGATTGTATTTGGCATCTATTGCAGCCATGTCCACCACGTGACGTTCGGTCCCCGTGTCGCTTCGCAAGCAAATGCACGAGATACAAATCTGCATCATTCGTATGGATCGTAGCTCAATCGATTCTTTCCTGCACGCTCCGCAACAATCCGTGCGTATCCCTATGCGCTGTTCCGTGCAAGCGTTCTGTACACCAGACCCCACATGGTAGATGGGTGCCAAACGTATTGTAGTTCACGTGAAGGTACTTCTGTCAGCACAGTCAGTGCAGCTACAAAAGCAACGATATGGCGCTCGGACAAGTACCACAGCTGAGCTAGTAGGCCTCGAGTCCGGGTCCACGTTGGACTTGCTGCGGGTCTCCTACATCTCTACTACATTTCTAGTCATTATACCCCTGAGCTCGTCGCGTGGCATAGCACGGTGTTTTGAGTGAACGAAGGCAGAAGAAGTTAAATGGAAAGGCGCACTAGTGCTTCGTCCGTGCGAGTTGCTCTACGTTCTATCGCTTTGTTTTTGTTGCAGGCAACGTCGCAGATACTGTCGCCAGCCACTTTGTGACCCAGAACCGCGCGACGTCGGGGAGAATGTAGTGGCTGCAGTGGCGTAGAAACAGCTGAAAGTACCGCAGCGATGGAGCAAACATGATCCAGTCTTGTCGAGATAATCTCAGCAGAACTGCAGGATGCAGTAATGGTGCAGTAGACCGTAAACAACCGCTTGTACTTGCGCGTGTGAAAAGCATATGGTCGTCTAAAGATCAGTCCTGCAGTTGCGTTCCCGATACCGATACGTGCTTCAGACGATGAACGTGCTGAGTCGACAGCTTCACAGACTGCCAGTCGTCGCGATCAAGAGTCGGTTGGTCGCATCGGGAGCCACATGAAACACGTCCGTTGCACCATCAGGATACACTTCGAGATTGAGAAAAGTAAGTTGGCAAGAACGTTCAGAACGACTGATCCCTCGAGCAGTGGTCTGTCAAGCCCCTGTCGTATGTGCAGCTACCAGTCGTCACCGGTTTATAGCGTCGCCTTTTCATTTCACCGCCAGCGTGGGCAGATTCGCTATGGGGTGGAGTCCGCGTGTCCATTTTCGTCGCGAATGACAAGCTAGTCTGCGGCAACGAAGTCCAAAGGCCAAGTCCATGTGTGAATACGGAGGATGCCGATTGATGCTGGCACGGGCACAAGCGTCATTCTGCCGGTGTCCTTTTTGCAGTGCAGGTACTCTTCGTGCAGGTACTCTTCGTGCAGGTTCGTGACTCGTACATGATGCGTGTCTTGTCGCGTTTGCTTTGTGATCAATGGTCAAACGTGCGTACGAACCAGCGGTAGCGTAGATCGATAACTTCGCACATAGCCGTAGTGGATGGAGCTTGCTCGGCTACCGTCGCAGCAGCTCATGGCAGAATGCTGGTCTTGCTGACGGAAGTAGTTGTGATATGTCCGCATTTCTGTCTGCTTTGGTTCTTCGTACATGATAGTGGTTGCATTGCATTCGCTAACTGCTTTCAACACCATTGACCGCCACGAAAATGCTTGGATACTGCACCCGGTCACTTGCCTGTTATTGCACAAGACACGAACTGATGATCATAGCAGATGCCATGGTACGCGAACAGAAGGGGTCTTCGTGTTTGTTTCTGGATCCTTCAGCATAGCGGATACTTACGACAGGCATAAACTTCGCATGGACGCATGTCCGTGTACTACTATGTCCGTGTACTACTTGCTATCCTGCTTCATGCAAAAGCTTTGTCCCGTTGTCGATGCATGAACGCGCAACTCACTACCAACACAGCCACCAGCACAACTCCTCGCCAGTAGGTGCTGTACCATCTTGCTGAAGCGGCACACGACAGCGCCAGAACATCACTATAATCTCACCCGTCGCATAAAACTCGGACATGACGTCTGTCACGACGGCAGGCATCCAGAACATAACCAGTATCCTCTTCTTCAGTATCGGGGTCAGGACATTCTCCGCGGACATGTCTCGCACGTTTGAATGTACGGCCCTGTCCTGCACTTCCTTCATCGTCTTTCTTCGGTAAGAGCTTACCGAATCTCACACGACTTTCATCGCCTTTCTTCGCGGCACGAATCTCACACGACTTTCATCGCCTTTCTTCGCGGCACGAATCTCACACGACTTTCATCGCCTTTCTTCGCGGCACGAATCTCGTGAGCGTAGTTGACCTTGATGACATATTGCTCCACCTCGTCCAACGTATCGTCTTCATGCTTCACCTTCTTCCTCCCGCTACCATGACAGTTCTGGTATGTGAAGTCGTCGTACACGTCGGGCGGAACAACAAAGTACAACCTCGGTGCAGCAGGGTTGCCAAGCAAATTTAGAGCCTCGACAAGCCCTGCTTGCTTGCAAGGGTGAACTCGTTCACAGGTTGGCTGAAACATGTCGTTGGGTTTCGCCATCGCATCCACTAAGATAGCGTTACTTGAGGCGGGCTGCAGATATGTTGACGGATCAACATCGGTCACATCTTCATCTCGTTTGAAGAAAACAGTTTCTCGTGCAGGCAAGCTCACACATATCTCTTCGTTGTTGATCGCACCCTCGCTCTCGCCAACGACGCCTTCTGCCTTGCTCGCATGCTCACCTCCTTCTGCACCTTTCTTCTGTCCTCGGACCAGGCGCCGACCTTGAAATTCTCCACCTTGCGACAGCACTGCGTGCGCGTATCGCTCGAACAAGGCTCCCCGGTACACTGCACGACCACCAACTTGGTTCGGAATAGCAAGGAAACCCATTAGCTCCACCCAATGACGCGCATACAGCAACCTGAAAACTTTCTCGGCGACGTATTTCGATGCAAAGTCAAAACCCTCATGACTGAAGCGCTCAGGGTGGACACGAAAGTGGAGCAACAGATGCACCGCATCGCACTCTGCGCTGCTTGATTCCACACTTGCTCTGAGAATTGCGTCAAAACTGGATACCGCAATCGTCGCATCGAGCTCCTTTTGTCGTGCCTTGGACGTAGCATGGCGCAAGACATAGCGTGGAATGCCTCCCCATCTACTGTAACATTCCTTCACGACATCCACAGGTCTGTCCTGATACATCAGCTCGCGGCATTTGAGGATCTCTTTCTCCGTCCAGACTGGCATGAAAAGCCTCTAAGAGCCGCTCTTGTCAAAATTACGCCAAATGTCCTTGTGTGGCGATGTGACAAGAATTGTCTTTGCTTCGCAGTGCAACGGTTGGACACCATCCACAACGTAAAACGTTTCCGGCTGCGCAAGAATGTCAGAAAAATCCGCCCACAACCCGTTGACCACCTTATTGCCCGAGAAGAGGGTACGATTGTTCACCTGTCCAGCACTCTCGTAAACTACCGTTGCTCCGGCGTGAGCAAGATGGAATAGGACGAAAATGGCAAAAAAGGTCTTGCCGGTTCCTGGGTTGCCGAGGATCAAGAGCCGCCGACAGGCGGTATTCTCATCGCTCAAAATAGCAAGGCAAATATCCCATAGCTGCAGATAGCAAGGACGAATGTACATGCGAGAGCCAAAGTCGAATTCACCGAGAAGGAGTGTTCCTTCGGGTAGTGTAATCACAGCGTCCGCTACGACTTGGGTCGAATTTGCACGAAAGGCTCTCCAAAAAGCGGCAAGTGATGTGTTTCGTATGCTAGGCGTGAAACGCAGATTGACGCCACACACCCTGATTGTCTGAGGATAGCGTAATGTCGGTGGAAGCAATACCAGCACGTGGACAACCTCCTTTCCCGGCGACACACTAGTACCAAAGAGACTGTGATCTGCCAATTCCCTCGATACTCGCATCGCTCGCATTTCATCACGATACCCTTCAGTCGGAAACAACTCGTCGAGATCAGTATCATCTGGCAGCCACGTCCCGCTCTTTCTAGCTATAAAGAGTTGTAGCTCATCGGCATCGCACTGAATCTCCGCTGGTTTCTCCACCTTGATCGCCTCCTTCAATTGATCTACACTATCATTCGTGTCAATTTTCACGGAGAAAACGCTGTCCGGTATTCCAACGACTGCACAAAACAGAGTGACTTGCACCATCTTTTGTTGTGCGGGCAATTTCGCGAATGGTAAAATGTGGACGTCCGATTTGCCCACACCACGAGTGGGAAGAAGCGTCATATCGATAGGCGTCTACACATGGAACAGTGATCGATGTCGCTCTGTGACGAAGAATGACCACACGGGACATGGGGCACACTCTCTGTGATGGGAGAGCGCTGACAAGCATGTTGTAAGTCTCTTCTTGTTATTTGTAATAGAAGGCCAAAAGATAGTGGCTAAACATGGTAAGAAAAGCGACGTGTGTCTCTGACTTGGTGAACGTTCAAGTGGTAGCCAGACACATTTGCTCGACTTGTGGAACACTATCCACAACAACCCTTCTATGCGTTAGTCGCGTGTGTCCTTTGTCTGGTACGTTGACTTACATCTTGGTGTACACCAACACGTTAGCCGCTAAGCTATCGGCATGTCACCTGATGTCCATACTATCTTACAAGTTGCTTACATAACTTTGCACGTTTACTATACCCAAGGCGGAACTCGATTTGCAGTCATCTGCAGCCGTTCGTCGTAGGACCACTGCTTGCAGAAGTATCATCTGAGCAAATTGCCACACACATTCGACGTGATGTGATACCTCGTGCTCGGTCGTGGAATTGCAATGATAGCTGCACAGCTGCCATGTGTGCTGGTGAGGTGTTCAATACGTCGGTGGCGCCACACTGCAGTTTGTTAGAGCAATACGATCGCGCAAGGGTGATCGCCTGAATGTGGTCTGCGTCTTCCATCACCAGCATGACAACGCATAGAGCATCAGAAGCCTCGGCCCTTTCCTCACACGTTCCCTTTCATCACATTTTCAAAGCTATGCACAAGTCCGTATGCCTGTAAGTACAGCTTTTCATGAGCTTGGGTAATTACACTCGGGAGATGAACAGAGCATTGTGACGCAAGCGCACCGAGCATAAGGTGTCGTTCGAAACCGCGACCAAGCCTGTGCTGACGCGTCGCACTGTTGGACAGAAATCGGCGGAGTCAATCAAGTCGTTGATCGATCTCTTCTGGGGATCGGCGGAGTCACATCTGGTCGTTGATTGATCTCTTTGTTCTCTGCAAGCCGACAGCATTCGGTTCGCTGAAACTGCCGACGTCAGAGAGTCCGATTTTGTACCCATTTTTCCATGATAGCACGCTCCGCATTGGGATATGCGGTACAAACGGTGGCTCTAGCGCGGCAGTTGTTGACCGTTTGCTTGTGGAAGAATAAAACGGAAGCTTGGCGGTTCTTCTTGAATCTCTGATTGACATCTGTACGTAACGCAGAATTCTACAAACACGTTAGTCGTATACTATCAATCGATGGGTCAGAAGATACTCCTGCTGTCCGGACTCGCTCGAGTTTTCTATGGACGACGCGGCAAGCACTGACGCAAATGACTACCCGGATTCGTTTCGACCAGCTACAGCTCTGGCCTCCAAGACAGGGGCGCCATTGCGAGAGCCCAACGCTGCACACACGGCATCTGCTTCGATGCATGATGAATTTGATCTTACATAAAGCAGCAAAGGTCAGTCATAGCTTGGAGTCAAGCGGGCAACGAAGTATGTGTTTGTATATGGCCGAGCAGTGGACAATGTGTGCAGTCGAGTCGTACTTGAAAGCGGGAACCGAATAGCCGAACGATCGTGCGCGTGATTACTCGCTGCAGCGTATGCCTTTGCTGTTCTTCCTATCTTTCCACACTCTGACTTGTGTAAGCACATTCACTGCAAACTATCTCAGCCCAGTTCCGTCTACTGCGACTGACAGCTTCGCATTTGCATACTTCACACTGCTACATCTATCTGCGTATGTATCTACTGATCCAGTGGTCGCACGATGGCTTCGTTAACAAAGTGACAGGAAGTACCTGCTATACTCGCTACTGGTCAGCAATACTGACGTTCAGCTTGACCTGTTGCTCGAGACATTGACCAGCAGCACCGCAAAGTCCCACGAGTCCAACGCCATTCGCAACGTCAGACGTTTTTGTTGTAGGGCACAGACTCAAAGCAGGTTTGCTTCTTATCGTATCACAACATGCGCGACAAATTGACGTGTCGATACATGCAGCAATATACCTACTCGTGACATGTATACTTATATATGTGGCGGTGCGTTCAGATTAACGAGTCAAGGGATTGAAGGCGTCTGGGGCTCGTAAATGTCATGTGTCACTGAATAAGCGCAGCACAGGTACGCATGAAGTGGCAACGTCCGCTTCGGTACACTTACCCACAATGTCATCGTGCAACAAGTATGAAAAGAAGGCCAAATAGCCCGTATCGATCATTGGTTAAATCGATTCTTTTCGTGCAGTCTCCACGCCGAGCCGTGCATATCCTGTACATGCTGGTTGGTGCACGCGTTTCGTGCTCCAGACACAGTATAAGTGGGTGCTAAACGCGCCGTGGCCTTCTAAAAAAGCTTCGATAAGCACATTCGATGCGGCTAAAAGATGCAAACAGGCAGTAGCTAACCGTCCACGAACCGTACCTGCTGCAGCTACTGTCGCTGTTCCGCCACGTTTTTCGTCCAATCATACGACCGTCAGAATGCACACCAACTTGCGCTGTACAAGATGCACTGCGTCCACCTCCGGACAACATCGACAGCAAATACGGCTTCCGCCACACCATGTTCACACAATTGACACCACCCGTCCAGGCGTCCACGTCCGCCTCATGGGTTCAATCGCGCCAGCGCTTCCGCCTGCAAAGAGCGACAAGAAGCGCAGCTTTACCGTCACCGAGAAGCTCGCGGTCGTCGCCGCGTGCAAAGCGCAGTCGCTGCGGTCAGCTGCGCGGCAGTTCAACGTCGACCGCAACTGCGTGCGCGCGTGGCGTGACAAAGAGGCGGAGCTGTTGGCGCTGCATCCCACAGCCAAACGACTGCCAGGCGCCGGCCGCCGACGACAGCGGCGGTCGTTGCTGTCGAATGTTGCACGAAGAACAGATGGGCAGCACAATGGGGAGACGATCGTATCAGCCAATGAGAATCGAGCAGCGCCCAGCAGGAAGATGATACCCACCCACGATCTGATTACAATGACAACCACAATGGCGACCACAAGCACAAGTCCAACGACAAAGACAACTGCTTTGACCGATAGCAACAAGTACGTGCTCGTGGGGTTCCAGGGCAAAGAAGGAGCATTCTCTGAAGTCGCGGCCAAGACAGCGTTCGAAGAGCTGCGCCTGACCCATCCGCACGCGTTGATGCACGACGAGTTCATGACGGTCGGCTTTCCCCACACGTCCGACGTCATGGACGCTGTCGAGCGCAGCGTTATGACCTTTGGCGTGTTGCCCGTCGAGAACTCGCTCTCGGGCACGTTCCACGGCATTCTCGACCGCCTCGTGGCTTCTCACTTGAAGATCGTGGGCGAAGTCATTGCCGTGCAAGAGCTTTGTCTCTGCGCCTTGCCCGGCGTCCGCCTGCACGAGATCGAGACGCTGTCGTCGCATCCCGCCGTGTTGGACCATTGCGAGCGCTTTATCTGTGCTATGGAACGCTCGAGTGGCAAGATCGTTGCTCGACATGCAGCGTGGGACAGTGCAGGAGCCTGTCAAGAGGTGCAGCAGGAGCAGAAGCGCCACGTTGCGGCCATTGCTAGTGAACAGGCCGCACTGGCTCATGGATTGGTGGTTCTGGAACGAAGTGTCGGTGACGAGCTTAATAATGAGACGAGATACATGATTGTGGGACGACTGGACGCGTCGTCATTGCCGTTGGGAACAACAGCGGCGACCACGACCAAGTCGAGCATCGTCATAGCAGTCCCGAATGAACCCCAGGCACTGTTCAAGATCGTCTCGGCTTTCGCTCTCCGTAATGTGATGATTGTCAAGATCGAGAGTCGTCCAGCGTCGACGGCTGGGCGCCTTTTTGCTGCGCAAACGACGCACTGGGACTATATTTTCTACATTGACTACATGACAAGTCAGGATGTGACACAGGAAGCGCGATTGCGTGCGAATCTGGAAGAGTTTGCACTGTGGGTTAAAGATTTGGGCACGTACACGAGCAGCAGCGGCAAAACCAGCGTTGAACCTCCGCGCTGGACGAGCGTGATGAATGTCGTTGCGTGCTGAGGGTCTGGCACTTGCTTTGCGAGTCACCAAGTTTGTCGACATTGATGGGGAGACGTGGAGATGTGTTTGTTGTCGTCGGTAACAAGTAACGTCGGCAGCGACGGCTCTTGAGCTGGTTGACGGTATGAGTTGACGAAGATTATCTGAAGAGCTGGTTAGCCATGTGCACGATGAAGCAGCAACGTTAATGTGGAAATCGGACCTGCGTGAGACGAGCAACAAGCAGGTATATTGGTATAGCACGAGTTTATGAGGCGGAACAGTCATGTGGTGGCAAGTGGTCTGCTATAGTCAAGATTGCGCAAGCGAAAGCGACTGCGACCGTGACTGTGTCAGGGCGAAACGTGTTAAGGAGCAGCAGAAGGTGCCGCTTGATCGGTGGCGCGAGGTGGACTGTGAAACCTCAGACGGACTGGAACGTTTATCGCCGTACAATTGACACTTGAGCTTTCCGATATGAAGAGATTGAAGTCTTGAGTATGATCATCATGCTATCGGTCGACGCAACAGTGGCACCTGCATGTCAGCACACATAATGCTGCGGTAACGGACGCTGAACAATCGGAGTATCGTCGGTTGGTCGGCTTTTCTACCTCTACATCTCGTATTGGCCCGGGTCTGTTCTTTCTCAGATCCTAAGGGATCAAGCTTCTTAGCTAAGTGGGTGGCATTATCCAGAAAAGTCACGAACATGAGCACGCCGGAAACGATCGGCCATCCCAGTTGCATCACTGCGCCATTCAACGGCCGAGTTCTGGTTACACCATGGGCCATTGTACGACGGTCGTCTGCAGCGACGGTGAGGCCAAGCACAGGTGCATTACTTTTCGGCTGGACTCCAGAGGACAAGAGCTGCAATGGCAACGACGAACAAGTGCTTCCCACCTTCGTAGCGTGTTCGCAAGCCATCATTGCTGCAGCCGAACGAATGGCGACTCTCGTGCAAGAGCGCAAAAGTCTGGCCGTGGCTGTCGCATACGACGAGTGTCTGGACATTGTCACTGCGGCGGTGAATCACATGGAAGCGGCTGGGTCACAAGCGACTGCTGCAAGCGAATACATTCGTGAAATTGATCAGGCTACGCGCAGTATCCGCGATGTGCTGATACCGAGTCCATACGTCCGTCGAGCTCTGCAGTTCTGAAACGATGCGCACAGCTTTGGCTGACTGCAAGTGCTTCCTCACTGCTGAATGCCTATCTGCTCGAGAAAGACGTTCGCGAGATGTAAGTGACAGTGTAAAGTGCAAATCTCGTGCTGATTGACACGTGTGCCGAGGTAAAAGTCTACAAACTATCGATTGTACCCTTTGAGACTATTTGCTCAACGCTTTGCCATGTGTCACACTGTAAGAGTAAGCCCAACTTATCAGACATATCCGTCTTCTCGTTCTATGTGGCTGTTGCATCATCCGACTTTTGTCGTGAAAGTATCCACGAAATGCACTGCCTCACGCCGTCACTGGCGCTTTGTCTTTCCCATACATGTGAAGCTTACGCACGACTCTAGCGCTCGAAGATACTGCTGGTGTATCACAACTTTGATGATTGCAGTAAACAAACGTTATTGTGCTCTCGAATGCAACATGCCGCAAAGTTGCTAGCCCTGTAGATAAGCGAATCCTTTGCCCTTCAAGCTGCTTTTTGATGGTAATGACTGTACCTTCAAGCACTCATTTGTGCTACATCCACGATACTTTGCTGCAGAAGAGGTCGCGATACCTGCTGTCATTGCAATCGACTCGAAGAACATGAAGGGCTGGTTCACTCCTGGCACATCGTCCAGTGATCGATCTATCAGAAAGCAGAATGACGATCTGACGGGTGCCTTTTGGCATACAGCGCATACAAACAGCGCTGTTTTCGTTCGTGTCCATACTCCTTCGCTTCATGTTCACTTCTTGGCAACGCCTTACTCTACACTTTTTTCTGAGTGTGATTAATGCTTTCGGTCTGAAGACATACCTTAATGCACCACACCTCCCATGCTTACAAACCGCAGACTTTGCTGCACAGTTTTGTCAAAGCGTTTGCCTTCAGTACGAAGAAACTTTACAGCTCACTTCGACGCGCCTGTGTTCTATCACTACGTTGACTGATGGCAGTGCCACGTGCATGAGGTTGCTAACAATTATATTCGTATACTGTTTAACATGTTGTCAATGTCTGCTTCGTTGCTAACTACACAAGGCAAAGCCCACACTATCTTGATGGACAAATGCACCACCTACGGCATGTGCTCGGCAGTGTAGTTGTAGTAGACTTGGTTTTCAAACTCGCTGTCGCAGTACGGGAACGCGGCATCGTTGTCGACGTCGGAGAAAAGAGTCTTGCCACTCGTATACGTGACGTAGCACCCGAGGAGGAAGCAAACGACCAGCACAATGCACGCAGCGACCTTCTCGTACATCGGAACGCGGTCCCACGCCTTGATGAGGTAAAACACGATCGGAAGTAGAATGCAGTTCATCGTGATGCACGACGCACCGATAAAGTCCGTAAACTCGGAGAAGTGGTCCTTAAAGATAATCGCGAGCGCGACGAGGATAGCGACGAGGACGATACGGAGCACAATGTACTTGATGACGTTGGCGCCAGTGTACTCGGCAGCTTCGTCCTCCTCGTTCTCATTGTCCTTATACACACCCACCGATTCGGCCACGGACACATAGGGCATCTTGGATCGACGACTCGAAAGAGGCATCGAGAGACGGTCGGTCGAGTCTGGATGCGTTAGCTGTCCACTAACGGGCGACCCGTTCGGACGAACCCCCTGCCCATTCACGGGCGACCCGTTCTCGACAAAGTCAAAGTCATCGCCCGTGTCAACCACTGTGCCCTTGTGCATGCCCAAGAACAGGCGCTCGCAGATGAAAAAGGCGGGATTCAGAATGATGGAGAACGCAATGGTCACGTGGAGCTGCATGAACAGGTACGCGAGCACGACGGTGCCCCAATCCGGGGCGAAGCCGAGCGACGTCAAGCCCGACTCTCTGTCGGGGTAGATGGTGAAGAGCAGGTTGCCCGAGATCTGGCACCCCACCGCCGAGTACGCCGTACTGGACAGCACGAGGAACAGAATCGACACGAAGCCCACCGTTACGCCCACCACTCGAGGCATGCGCGACGGATTGCTGTGTTGACGCTGCAAGTCGGGAATGACAATCCCTGCGCCGTACGCGAGCGTGAGGTTCCCGAAGACGCCCACGACTTGCGAGAACTTCAAATCCGGGAACGGCACGCCCGGGTGTCCCCGCATCCCGTGCATCACGACCGCTACGCCGATTATGTCGGCAAGGATCGTGCCCAAACAACCAGCAAAGGCAGCGGCCGCGCCCTCTTTGAGCGTCGGCACGAGGCACACCGGCAGCACCATCAGAGCCATGAAGACGGTCCACGTCGTCTGACTAAAAGCGTGGACGAAGAGGCCGTCGAGCAACTGGCCGCCCAGCACGAGGAAGACGCACGGCAGGAGCAGGCACGAGCCCATCTGAGAGATCACACACAGCCAGCGACCCGTCGCGCCCATACTCCACTGCCCCAAGTCGCCAAACGTCTTGACCGACTTGGGCGCGAGCAACAGCACTTTGGACATGGTCACGGACGAGTAGATATTGGCGAACGCCATGAACGCCATAGCGATCACAGCGATCGCGGGCCCAGCGCGAGCAAAGTTCCCGGGCATGCCGAGCGTCCCGATGCCGTAGATGCAGCAGAAGAGGTTGAACGCCGACTTGCAGTCTTCGCCCGTGAGAAACGGTCCGTCTTTCGACAGGCCAAACATCGCGAAGAAGAAGTGCTGCGACGGTCAAAGCGAAGCGAACAGGTGATCAGCTGAGCGAGTCGACCGGTTGCAGGATGGAGAAGGGAGGGCACCGGTTGTGGTGGAGGACGTGGCCGGCAAAAGTGGGAATGAACAGACCAAAGGTGGGCGGCGGGCGCTGCGGCTTTGGCGTCGATCGGTGTTGAGGTAAAGCCCAGCGATAATGAATACACCACTGGGCAAAGCAGCTGTGCCCTCTCACGTGCATGCGGACCGAGAGCGGGTCGCGTGCATAGGCGTGTGGGGCTCTCCACCAGCTGCAACGCACCGGTGGACAAGTCCGGATACAGTCGTACGTTCGATTGTGCCCTTAAGTGGCACTTGAACTCGTCGCACGCTGCAAGTGGATCGATTGATAGAAAGCGCTGACCTTTTGGTGATGCGTTTGACCCGTCGCCACGTGGGCACTGGAGGGGCGACGCCGAACAATTGTCTCGAGCAGTGCCGGAGGCACTGGTGTGCATTTGCACCGAAAGGGGTTCCGTGAAGCTCAAGCTCAAGCTCAAGCTGCACGCAGCAAACGGGTCACACCGCTATGACAGCCAGCTGGTCCTGCGGGACATGTGGCAATGGACTTCGATACCGCAGGCTGCGGTTCGGTTGTCGACCGTTGCAATGCGATTTGTGATGCGTCAGGCTTTTACAGGTAGCGTTAGCACCGCAGCGACCACAGCTGAGTCGTTCGTTGGAGGAAGGAGGCGCTCTCGAAACGTTCGCGTGTCATTAACATCGCTCGTGCTGCTTGTTTGTGTCACACTCACTGCGATGGCTTACAGCTCTTTGACCGATTGTGATGCAGCTATAGATTGTGACTACAGCTGAGAACACATTTGGTGGATGGATGATGGCAGCAACTCCTGATCAGCGATGCGATTGAGAGCATCGTGGAACGCCGACGTTCTTGATGATGGATACGTGGCGCAAGACACATCAGGTGGTTCATTAGCTCCCGCGTCTTTGTTCGCTTCGATGGGCACGAACCAGTGCGACACCACTGCCTTTCTGCTCGCGTGAATGTGCATGTGCAGCACCATTAGCGTGGCAGAGGCAAACATGTGCTACAGCGCAATGAGGTCTTGAGACGGGTGATGGCCGTTCATCGGCTGGCGTCGTGTCACTCTCTCCAGAGCTAAGATGGGACGAGTAGACTTTCGCAGATTAAACTGGTTCCCACGTCGTGGACCAGACGCCCCCACGAGGCTAAAAAGGCCATCCGCAGCGAATGAGTCTGAACACGATGGTCGCTTTTTTTCGTGTAAAGCACGAGACCAGACACAATCTCCGAGGCGGGAGCCTGCACCTGCGCGAATCGGAATACGTCCTGGGAACAAACAGGTTCCTCCGAGATGGACAAATTTTGACGAAAGCTCGCGCATGTGGGTCCGAAGACTGACAGTTAAGACCATAATCATTGGGATCGTTGGCCATTCCGCGTGATGAACAACTGCGACTCAATGGAATGTTTATGGGAGATTATGCAGGAGCCGATCTTTTTTGCGCGGCAAAAGATGCGCTCGTTGGCAAGATTACGCTGGCCACGCATGAGACAGCAGCACTTCCGTGTGGAGTCTTGTACTGCTCGTTTTCTTCGTCCAAACTGCTTCTTCGCGGCGCAGATTCGATAGGGTCTTTTGCTCTGTCACAACGCGTCTCGGGCGAACGAGAGTGCCGGTTATGGTTTGTTTCCCATCTCTGGTGTTAATGCGTGCGTAACCTTCGACACACGGTTTCCAAGATGTTACAGGCATTGCGTAGTTAGAGGGTTCGTCGTGCTTGTCGGCGACACGGTGTGACAACCCTCCGCATAGTGGCGGTATACTGCATCTACATCGAGATACCATGAGTTGGATGGGCCGATATGTCACACGGTGAGGACTGTGTCACACGGTCACGGATGGAGGATGGCAGTGTTTGCATTAGCCTCCCAAGCTATCGGGATGTTATGGTTTCTGTGCGACGACAGCTCGTTTAATACAAAAGTCGACGGAACGCGACACCCCTCTGCATGTACCGCTTCGTGCAGGCTGTCGTATAGTCCTGCGTGCATGGCGTAACAAGGGCGACTGACTGCGCGCATATCGTGTATCCGATAGCATTTTGAGCTGTTGACAGTTGAAAGATCGATTGTAAGCCCGGTGAAGGCTGCACGATACCCTTCGTCGCAGGAACTGCTCGAGGTGCTGCTGGCCTTAGTGGTTGGTATCGATACCAATCCCAGAGCACCTGCGCGACAACACACGGCGTCGGATCGATCTTCCAGTTGCCAGTGCAACCGACTGCGACTGCGACTTGACTGACATGATCAGGATGCCATTCACTGAACATGTTCGCTACATGCGATGAGGCGCTTACTTGCAGAATTTTCCAAGGTTTGGTTGGATAACCGAAGCTGTAGGTGATCCCTTGTTGCATACGTAGACGATCGACAACCCAAGGGAGCCGGGCCGTATGTATAACGTCTCGCCAGTGCAGTGACTAACGGTGACTCATTACGTCAATCTTGCGCTACTTTGCCATTCATTGCTAACTTTACATTAACATTGGCAGGCAACGTGATCCTTGTGGGTTCCAGTGTGAAGGCCCAGAAGTGTCGCCGTAGGTTCCTTAGTAGCGGTTTACTGTGCCGACGGCGGCATCTTCTGCGACGCAAACACTTTATCGCGGAGGCAATCAGCATAATGTTCACGGCATCACATACGACACCGAGCGTACAATCATCAGCGAGAGGAGAGGGAAGCGAAAGCCGGTGCGTGTTTGGCTACCACACCGTCTTTGTCCACGTCGACTTAACAGATGGCTACGAGTGAGACGATGAGCATTGCCGTCGCGACGGGTCACCAACTGCTTTCGTCTAGCGGGATCCTCTACACAGTGCTGGCTTTTTGCCCGGGCAAAAGAGTGGTGGGCAGATCAATTAGCTGCACCACTGCTTTCGCCAGTGCGTAGGGGACTTCCAGATCACATGTCCACCGTGGCCGAGCACGTGCTGTCGCGATTCTTCGCCTTTGCTCTCGAGGGTCGTATAGACGTTTGCGCCCAACTCCTTAACCAACGCTGCCCAACTCGTTGCGAGCGGTTGGTCGGTGCAGTGCATTCGTCATCGATATCTCAAAAACGTGTCGTTTGTCGCCTTGTGAGCACTGATTAATGCACTCGTCGCAGCCTTGCCGCCATCCTTTCGGATTGGAAAACTACACGGTACGTCTCTGTGCGCTGCAGGTGCTTGCGCTACTTCGAGATCGCACTGGAAGAGAAACACATGGACCATGTCATTGTTGTATCGGGAATGCGACCCCTATAACGAGCATGTGAACGCCACTTGCAGGTGCCGAACAACACGCTCGCTGTGTCGTAAAAGCAGAATCGTGCAAAGAAGCCGACACAATCGGACCTGTCCTAAGACACCACCCAATACCGGTGACACCGACTTGACCACGAACGATGAAGTGCGCTGTCCATTCAATGGCACTCCACACTCTTTTCGGTTTGCACGGCCGCCTTTGTGTCGAAACACCACGACCTATGTACGATCTAGACTTGCCGTCGATCCCGACTGGGGGCATTACCAGTGCCAACAGCGCTGCGATACTGCGCTTTTCGCCATAATGAGCCGGCACGTCGAGTGCCCTGTGTAGAACGCTGACACAGGACCGCCCACCTTCCCGTTTGTACATGGATGACAGCCGAACGACAAGGCCAAGCGGTTGAAACAAGCGTGCGCTCGAATGGCACATTTGCATCGAATGCTGCCACCCTACTTCGTCAGAAGCAAAACGGCTGATACTCAATACGAACAGGACGCTTCAGTCTTCGCGGTCGATGCACGCATCAGGGATGCAATTGTCCAGATGGACAACTCGGTCTAACGCAATGGATGCCTCGATTGCACTCCATTGCACGTCGCGTCTTAAGCTGTTCCGACAGGTCACATATTGACAAGCATCTCTTCTGCAGCCTTACACAATGTTACTCGCCTTACAGCACGTGCTGCTCATATCGCATGCTGAATATGACATTGCCGACAGGTCACTTGGTCTGATGTCAGTGTCGAGCGAGTCAGACTGCAGGACGCAGTGCATCTTCAGCGCCTTTGTTTTGAGACAATGTTCCTTTTTTTGCACGTCAACGGGGTGAGCAGCGTCATCGCTTGCAATAAAGAGTCACGCCATGATCGACGGTGTCCAACAAGACATCAAACGCCATCAGCCTTTTATCGCGCGTCAAAAAAACCCGAGACCTGTCTCTCTCTCGCTCACGCGCTTTCCCACGACATCCAACATACGTCCAACATGGCCCTATAGATCACGCATCCGACAAGTCTTTCATGATCAAAGACAGCATCTTTATTGCGCGACTTCACTCGATGCTCAGTAGTATCGTCATCTGCGCATTTGTTGCTGCTCGAACATTCGCGTTCTACTAGTCCACAACGTAGACCCTTCTTGGTAAGCAGGGTATACTCTGCAACGCAACAACGCTCTCACCACGCGGAAGTGTGACTCCGACTTGTCCTCACTAAGCTTACCACGCCACTTTTGCTGAGATCATGGCGATTTGACAAACGAAGACTTGACTGTAAACCTTGATTCCGCTTGATGACCACGAACGAAGCGAGCTTGACTGCAGGCGAAAAGTTGTCAAGGCATTCAATCTTGCGCTACGAGAAGACGTAAGCGATTCGGAAAAGCAATCCAGCAACTAAGAAGATAGTTGGACATCCATCCAAAGTCAATAGCGCATCCAAGAGCATTTGTGTCTTCCCGGGCTAGCAAACTCAGGTAAGACCTTGAACGCGACGGGCCGATGCACAGGATTGATGAAGGCTTCGGAAGGAGCGATAGACTGCCACGTCGCATTTTTGCCGCTTTGCAAAATATTGCTACGATGTCAGCTTCAGCTCAGCAACCATCGAAGTCACGGCTACGTAAACGTCGTGCTTCTTGCGCATCTTCGACGCCCTCATCCAATGTAAGATGGCAACACGGGCAATGTCAAACACACCATCAATACAGATAGAACCCAGTCTGCATCCCTTGCAAGTCTTCTCCGATACGCAACTAAAACCAAGTGTCGATGTACAAGAGTAGTTGCGTCGGGCGTGCGAGGGATACTGTTATAGCCGATGATCGTTGGGCACACAGCCCATGACCGGTTCAGATATACCACTCGTCAAGAGCAACAGCACGAAAGTCAACACACCGTTCGACGTCTACTTGGACACATCAGAGATACATATATTCTCATTCACACATCCACACCGTTTATTGTCAACCAGCCAAAAATTTGTGCGACCAGAGCCCATTCAACCACGACTGAGGCGTTAAATATCTACAAGCAACAGATCCACAATGAGACCTATCCAAACAGCGTAAACAACGGCGCGACAGCGTTGCTTTCCCATCGCAGCAGCGCCATTGCTATTTGATACTTCCACATCGTAGCATGTTTCGCACTTCGACTGGTCAGCAAATTGCCACCAAACGATACGTCGCAACCTCGCACTCGCGACGTCGACACGTCTGCAGCCTGTCCACGCACGCCTTTCACGGGCGGGTCGGTAATCATCAGCCAATAGAACATCTCCATCCACTGAACGCTCGGGTCGTCGTCGTCGTCCATCACACACACTGCCGGGTTGTGCGACCGAAAACAGATCAGGTAGCCATTCGACAGCTTGATGCGAAACAACAAGAAGACAGTGCGAAAAATAGGCGCCGACGGTCCTTCCTGCAGATCCCGTCGAATCAAAAGCGTGTCGTCGTTGATCTTTTGCAAAATCTCGAGCTTCTGCACCGACGAGTAGATGCCGTGATAGAGCCCAAAGTCGCAGTACATCTCCCAGCTCTTGTGCACCAGTTCGTCCGTCGCAATCGTCTCGATGCGCTTTGTAAAGTTAAACTGCACGCGTCCGTCGCCCGTCACGCGCTGGTGCATCGTCCAGCCCATGGTCTTGTCTTCTTCGGCCGTCTCGACGCGTCGCATGGTCGTGAAAAACGACGTCGCTTGTTGGTGCGACGTGACCAAAATCGCACTCACTTCGTCCGCACTTAGCGGCTCAAAATGGACCGTCCCGATCGACGTCCGCACCGTTCCGCTGCGCGAAAGCGCGCGCGGGATCTCAAAGTCCACTTGCAGCCGCTGGAGCTGCTCGCCCAGTGCGTCGTACAACAGCACTTCGTCCCGCAGCGCCGCGTTCTCGAGGCGGAGGCCGCGCACTTGCTCCATTAAGTATACAAACTGCTCCACCCGACCCGTGGCCAGTGCCACGGACGCACTGCGACACGGGCCGACGTCGTGCGCGCGCAGCAGCCGCTTGAGCTCCTTCTCGAGCGCGTCGTTCACTTGTTTCAGTCCCCGGCGCTCGTTCTTCTTGCGCACGCGCGACTGGCGCACCGTCTCGCAGTGCTTCAGGCGCTTGAACTCGGCTTTGGCCATGCGGCGCTTCACGTCGGGCGGCACGTCGCCCGTCAGCTGCTGCTCGAGCCGCTGCTCCACTTCGTCGAGCGTCACGTGTCGCGTCGCACTTAACACGTCGCGATCGGCGCCGCTGCTGTCGTCGGTGCCATTGGCTGCCGACTGTCGCTGCTCTGCTGTGGTCGGCGGCATGAAAACCAAAGTGAACAGCTGCGGCTGCGCGACGCGCGACGAGGGCGGCGCGTCTGCTGACGTGCTTGTATACTTGTGCGAGACGTGGCTGATGGGAGACTTACGCGAGAGGAGCCAGTGGACGCTTCTCGTGGTTTGTTTTGTTCAACGGCCTGAGCGGATCGAAAATAAAGTGAGTTGTTACAACAAAAAGAGACGCATCGGTTTGCGTTGACTTGGACACGTTTTCTTGCGACTATACATGGCGGACCGATTGCGACCCACATCTCGTTCCCTTTGTCAATGGCGAGGGCTGCAGGGACGTGTTTTTGACTTTTTTAGCTGCGTCTTTTGGTCGCCGTCGTCCACTATGACAACAGGGCTACATATCGATTCCGCCTGCTGTTCGAATCGATAGAAGGCATTATCGACGCCATTGTCGAGGGTCGGGTTGTAACTGTAGGGGTTTCGGACACGACCGTGGTCGAAAGCACTTTGAAAAGGCACAGCAACGACAATACTTCCTCTCTACGACCTGTACTTGATCTCGTCAGATGTCAGAGTGCGACAATGAAACATCAGTGGCCGATACTTAACCTAATAGTCCTACAACAGCCCCGCCAAGATCGGTCAATATGTTGCATTAAGCACAAATCGCATGCGGATGGCCAGGGTCCACATGTTTCAGGATAGGCGTCGATGAAATCTTGGGCTCAAGCATAGCACTGCCGTCATAGACTTCTTCCACCAGTCTTTTTTACATCCAACACATCGCTCGTATCATATATTCTTACCCGTCTGTTTCACCATCAATAAGCTAGGTAGATAGTCCGATCTCATGGTAATGAGATTTAGTTACTTCGTACAACAAACCGCATGGCAGACCGCACACTCCTTGATAAATCGACTACAATACGTTCAGTCTTCCAAGGATCAATCGCATTGCACGCAACGTGCTCGGAAACGTTACTTTACTTGATGACTGTAAATCTTCTGGGCTTGCTCTTACATATCTCATCGAATATTGATGGCCCAGTTCATACACTTTACGACGTCCCATTTCGCTTCGTTAAACTCACACGTAACTACCATTTAGTGCATGGTTCCGGCCGGATTCGAACCTTTTCGTAGAGCGACCGCGATGCGTTGCTGGAAGATAAAGGTCGTAAATATACGATCGTCTGACTATTATGGACGTATATCGGTCCGAATCGAATTCTCTCCTCCAAGAAGCATCTATTGTAGCTCAATATGTTGGATGGTTTATCATAAGAAAAGGCACGATCTCTGTATACTTGTGAATCAAATTTTCAATCAGACGCAAATACGTACTGTCGAAGGCTGAAAAAAACGGCATAAGCTGCCACTTGACTAATCAAAAAGGTTATATGGAAGCAGATATCCCCTCAGCTTGCTCTGTCATCTCAACCGCCCCGAATTTCTTTGCCAGCTTCAGCGAATATTCGAATAGAGTTTATTGAGGTCTTTTTCCCTTCGCTAGATTAAGACAAGGGGTACGCCATCCGCCTTGTCACGCGATTCACCACGCGATAGTCAATACAAAGTCGTACACCCAAGACGTTCATATAGATAATCACTACAATTTGCCGGCGCGTAAGGCGTCGCAAATGAAAAAAGTGATCGTAGCAGAAAAAGTAATTTGTTGTATCGGACAGTTTCTCTCGACATTTTGGATCTACCGGAAGCACATGCTGCACGATGGGTGCTACAATACTTGCATACATGCCGCCGATCGCACTTCATTCACCGGGTAGCAGCACATTGCCTTTTACAACAGTCCAGTGAAGGTTTTGCACAATTGCAATTTAACTTGCTCTTGTGGTGGTAATGAGACTCGTCTGATTTGCTCTTGCTTTCTCGAAAGAGATTTGTCTGGATCGCGGACTTAAACTTCTACATCCGTTTCTTCACCATACATTTTGTTATCTCCGGCAACACATCCATTATGTTGTTCGATAACTTCTGCAAACCATCGCCTTTTTCATATTAGGAGATCAGTGTTTCCATTGTGATCTCACATCCTACTGCTGCTTTCGCTGTTGGCCTCAAGGCGTTGAATTCCAACTTCATTTGCACAATTTTTCTCAAATTTAGATATTATCTTATTACCCTAATAAGTATCTAATTTCTTTTTCATATTTTTCTAACCAATATACGATAAGTCAAAATTATTGAGCATTTATTTCATACTTTATTAAATAAAAGTAAGCAAATATTTATAACCTTTAATTGTATACATTTTTAGAATGTGTTTGCCTATATACGTTTAACCCACGAGTAATAAACAATATTTTTTGAGGCCGATATACAAACAACACCCTTCTGTAATATGTACCAAATCACATTTTACTTGAATAATGATCGCAAGACTTACTTTTGCGCTATATGTACCACAGCCTATTCTTAAGCAAATAAGATTTAAAGGGCTTAAATTTCTGTAAAAGACCCACAACTCAATTTAATTCAAGTACGATTTCGAAATGCTGATTGTACAGTATCTATAATACAGCGCACAGTACCCAATTGTCGTTAAGGAGACAATTACACCTGTAACGGGGGTACACAAAGGTGTGTGAGTAAAGGGTTACATAAGATGTGCGGTACAGAAAGGACAGAGTCCCATTAAAAATGATATTAGAATACCATATCATTTGTCGGGGGTTGACGTGTGTCATTCACCGAATAAAGAAATCTTTAGGAGGTATTAATTCAAACGGCAGTGACTAGATTGAGTAAATTGTTCTGAGGTGTTCTTTTGGATAGTAGGAAATAAAGTTTAGTTCCCCTTTTGATCACTTAAGATACGTGCCTCACGAGACGTCTTTGGTCGTTAGGAGCTATCAATACCTGTGAAGGTAGCTGCTTCTGATCACTCTGTGCTGTTATTCTCTAGAGTCGTTTAGTCCCCCTGGAACAGGGACCGTGAGCTCTATGAGCTTGTTGATTCTTTGAGCCGGGTTTTCTATATTAAAGTTACTCGTTGAGCATTAGGTCTTCATCTGACTTAAGGGGCTGTGTAGCTCCGCTACTACACCATGCCGCTAACACCGGAAGCTGGCGTGACTTTCTCATCGCTTGATATACCATGGACAAGTATATATGCCCATGCATCAGCAGAAGTATTCAGAGTCAAATATGGACGACCGCGAACCGTTTGAAACAGAAAAGGTGGAACGATGAAACATGTTGTCTTTCACTGTGTACATGAACGAGAACACAAATAGAAAGAGTAGGGTATCCGCAGAACTAGCACCTATCGAATCCTCTGCCCTGTCCTGGAAACACTGCGACGAAATGATTCAGACGGCTTAATCACTTTAACGGTTGACGCTACTGCACACAACCACGCAGCATCCGAAGATGCCGTAGCATACGCAGCGGAAATGACCCTTAGGGATGAGCATCTGTTTAGTGTTGAACATCTCTGTAGAGCACGCGTCCAGCCAACAGCAATATTCACTTCTATGCGCCGGATTGAACCATCCTGCAAAGCCATCCTTCAGTAGCTGCAGAAAGATAAGCTCGAGGCATAATATAGATCTACAAAAAAATATGGACCGACATCAATAACGCTCTATTATTAAAGACAAAATCGCTATTTTAAAATTTAATCCATAATGGTAAGTATAACCTGTTTGCAAGAACTATTTGTTTCAATAAAAATGGTACTTTGGCCTTTTAAACGACATATTAAATTAATGCTTTTAATAATTATTTTCTCACTAACATTTACCGAAATATACAATTTTATTTTAAATTTATTGTACTATATTATTATTTTAAATTGGCATTTTGTACTTAAAAATATATTAAGCAACCCCTTTCACTTCATCGCCACTTTCTTCTCGTCTATTTATTGATGCAGCTACATGTGGTTTTAGGACGTCGTCTAAAGAACATAACCTAACCTTGAAGGTGTTGACTCCTGAGGGCCTACCACATGTGGTCCGGTCAACTAATTAGTTCGGCCATCACAACTTCTCACAGCTGCTTCAGGTGTTATGCCTGCCATAAGACCGATTCCAGTGGAAGAGTGGAAAATCACAGGCACCGAGACCGAACGTACGTGAATTGATACCCGCGCAGGGGCGATGCATTGACATATTTCCGGGGAGTGGATAACAAAGTCGGATAAAGTGGGTAGTACGCGTACCTAAAAACACCTTAAACCTTCTCTCTTCTCTCTATGCTTGCCATTATATCGACTACGTCCGATAGACACAATAGAAAGGAGATAACAAATCGGTTAGTACTCGGTATAACATACGTGGTTCACACTAGGGATACAATCCCATTGAAAGTGAGATTTGAGCACCTTATCAGTTTGTTATGGCTGACGTGTGTCAGCCACATGATAAGAGACCTTAAATGGTTCTAATGTAGAGCATTGGTGTCTAGGCTGGTTACGTTTGGGCTACCGTGTTAGTTTAGATAAAACAGAACGAAGTTCAATTCCCCTTTTGATCGACTTGAGACACGTTCCTTCCTAAGACGCCTTGAGTCATAGGAGAGTCAAGCCTTGTTAAGGAGAGACTCCTGAGCTTACCGAGCAGTCGATTCACTTAATCAATATGTCCCTCGAACAAGGACCTGGAGATGTAAGACTCATTCGGAACCGAATCTGTTCGCCGAATGTGGCGATGCCAACGCTTCAGAGGCGTAGCATCATACTTCAAATGCGGGGAATGCCACCATCACCAACTCGCTCGATGAGCAACAATAGCTGATCATTCATCAAAAATGATTTTCGCCGTTATCAGGCCGCTACAGCGCTCGAAAGGCATTGCGGATATGCTATCACAACACCTGACGTGTGAGGAAAGGTATCCACCAAACGGTTGGTTGTACTTTGGCGGGGTGGGCCATCGGCCCTGAAGCTAACTCGCTCAATAAGATTTCCTTCCGACAAGCTCTACGAGAGAGGTGCCTAAATCTTTTTGACCACCAAAACCTCATGAAAGGCCTAATTTGAGACCATAGCTCGTCGTAGCCCGGTTTGA